ATATATGAAAGAATTGATAAACCTCAGGAATGTCAGCCCATTCAAAATCGAAATCAAACCACTCGATGGCTTTTTCTACAGGCGTCTTGGGATACCATCCGCCCAAACGAAGAGCTGCTCGTTGGGAAATGTCAGGTTCGTCCTCTGCAATTGACATCTTTGCTTTGTCTGCCATATACTTTATAGCTTTATCCAGTTTTTCAAAAATTGGCTTCGTTGAATCAGTTACGTCATTCCCAGCCTGGTTAAAGACCAACCGAGAGGAGAAATTTGTTACATGATGTTCGATTCCAAGATCCAAAACTGTTGTGATGATTTTGGTATTTCCAGGGTGAGCCCAGCTTGCCCCGATATCTACACGCATTCCAGCAAACAAAACATCAGCCACACGTCCGCCAGTGTGGTTTGTGCCTTCAATGATGATAAAATCATTCATTCCCTGGTCATGGAAAACTTCAGCGGCTTTTAAACCCGCCGCACCAGCACCGAGAATAAGAACTTTAGCATCATTCTCTGACTTAACGAAACAAAATGTCAGAAGAAGTATGGCAGCTTTTGGTAATGTCATTGTTGTAGGCCTAATATTTAGATGCACTCCTCCCCACAGAAGAGCGCATTAATGAATGTTATAACCCGGAAATGTATTTATAACGCTAGTTATCGATTGTTCATTGATGGTTTACCTAAAAACCTCTCTAGGATCTATTATCCGTGATATTATAACGACATTGTATTGTATTTAATTCATGTGTGTAATAGTGTATTATGTCAACTATTTTGTTATTCCTAAAAACAGAATCAACCAATCCGAAAAGGTGATTTTAAGCTCAATGGTGCCAAGCAATGGAACGGAAAATTTCATATAGTTGTGTTTATCTGAATATGGCCATGGTAGTCTATATTATTCCTTAATAACCCTCCAAGTAACACTCAGACTAGTATTTTTTAGGCATACGGTGACTATTTTTACACCAGTAGTCGTCTATTGGCTATTGTTACACCATTAGTTTACGCGTGTACAATCCGTTTTTGTGATTTCTATCTGCAGTAGAATACGATTCTCGATAAGAGAGACAATAGAAAGATGTAGAAAGGTAAAGACATCAACTTCAGGACATTTTGTAACAAAGTCATTATACAAACTAGATGATCGTGAAATAAAAACCATTTTTACAGACATTAACACGACAAAACTGAACAGAAAATAAATCACGATGACGAAGACGACGACCGGGGACTTTAAGTAAAAAATACGATAAGGTTACAATCAAACAAATTCACATATTTTAACAGGAACAAAAGATCAAGGTACATACGTTTAGGTGAAGGACAAGTAACGTTTAACTTTTTATTGAGCGAGTCAATGATGGCATCGTCGAAAATGATTATGAGGGCCAAATGTTTCAGGACTGATGAAGCGCAAGAAATTTAATATGTTTATGGTCATTCATGAGTCTTGATATTGTAACCACAAAATACTCGCAGTTTCACATTTTCACCAGATACACTCCATTACACAATAAGTACGGCTAGAAACAAATAGTTGCGTATAATAAATCAAGAAAGCCGTTAACACTGTTAAATTATATATAAATCATCAAAGAAATGTAAATACAGTGTTCGAATAAAGGACATAATAATACGCAACTATTTGTTTCTAGCCGTACTTATTGTATTTGAATCTGTTCAACCATGAAGCCTCCGTGGTCTAATGGTTATGACGCTCGCCTTGACAGCGAGAGGTCGCAGGTTCGAGTCCCGCCAGAGGCATTTTATTACACAATTTCTTTATTCATTTACAGGACTACATTCGCTGAGAGCTATGCTACACGATGTATTATTATGTCCTTTATTCGAACAATGTATTTACATTTCTTTGATGATTTATATATAATTTAACAGTGTTAACGCCTTTCTTGATCTATATATATATTTTATATATTATATTTCTTGATATATATATATATATATTTACTTGCAGGTTTCTCTTCTTTAAGGTTTAAAATTTACTTATACATGTTTACAGCCTTACCATATATAATATATATATATAATATAAACATTTATAAAATAAGAATATTAACTTTATGAGTACTATAATGCATGTTGTAAGTAAATGAGGACAAATTTTCCCCATTAAATAATAAGTGCCTCTTTACAGCTGCTAGGTAGTCACGGACCACGCCCATACGCAATTCAGCACAATGGCGCTGCAAGTTATGGGTTATTCTCCAATAAAGACGTTCAAAAATAAATTGGGCAATTCAAATATAGAATTGAATGTTCAATATTTTAAGCTTATGGCAGGCAGTATATAAGTCACTGGCCTTTTTTGTCACTACTCTTCTTACTGATGATACCGGTGATGAAACAATATTAATATTTCAATAATGAGCCATCAAGGTGTTAGACACACAAACATACTGCTTTATTGTTATTAAACATAGAAAAACACAACAACCTTTATCATGAGCAGAATAATTACTACTCTAACACATTCACATTATTCCAATATTTTAATTTGTGTAACATGATTTTGAAATACCATAACATAACATGGACTGACCTGTGAAACTTATTTGATACAATTATTTACTTTTATGTAAGGTATTGTAAATCGCCTCGGTTGGATTTACTCAATGGAAAGGCAGTGAAAGCATTTTAAAATGTTTATTGAGTGAACAAAGAAACCAACCAAAAATACTATTGTCAATTAATGAATTAATAAAAACTATCATGGATGGAACAAATGAATTCAAGATAGACATATGTTTTGTTTTTGTAAATAATTGTGATATACTGCAACTGCACACCTTACTTTTTGTGGATATTCAATAAGCTCTGTTGTAGCTTCCACCAAACATGTCCAAAATCAAGGCATAAAAAAACAAATAGCCTATCAGAAAACATATAATGTATATATTGTTTAATAGGCTGGACTCTCAACAGTCTCTTTTGACTTGCACATGCAAATGTGAGCCCATCAGTGCCTAATATTATTGTATTTAAATGTAGCTTATGTAATATCATATACTAAAACATAAATGAAACTACAACAGCACACTTTTTATATCTAGGAATAAATCTAAACTTTCGGTTTCAATTCGCAGACGAAATTCTATACAAATGATTTGCTTTCATATGTAACATGACCATTGCTGCACTATTTTACAGTATTTCCAATGCAAGCGATGGATTGGTCACAGGTGTTGGCCAGCTGCTATGAAATGCTGTTACATGCGAGCAGCTCCCACAAAGTTCATTATTACCAATGCAGGTGCTAATCTCATAACAGTGCCCTCTTGCAGGTTTCAATTCACTAACCTTATTCTAAGCAAATGACCCCTTGCTATCAAATTTAATTACATGACCTGTTACTACGATACTGTAAATGTGCATTATTAGTTATGTAAGCACTGTCTTCATCACAGCACCCTCTATCAGTTTTAAATTGTTAAACGTTATAACTTGAACTAGAAAATATTTTTGGAAAGTTGTGCATTGTTAAATAATACAAAATAACTGATGCAAAAACAACATTAAGTCCACAGTCTATTATTATTGTACACTAAATTTAAGTTTGTAAAGAAGCACATTATTATTTTAAATCATAATTCAAGCAGACTTAAAAATAATTTTTAAAAAACAAGTATTAATTATGACAACATACAAAGATTAAAGTACCACTTTTTTCCAATACGACCCAATATACTAATTTTTTTGCACTGTGAAAATTGTTCTTAACTACATGTTTCTGCCTTAACAACACTAAGCACCATACCATGTACTTTACACCATGCACAAAAATGTTTATACTTTAACAACATACTTAACAAAATCTATTATTCTTAAAAATCGACGGGATAGCTAAATTGTTTGCATTTCCTTATATCATTATTGTGTACCTACATCAATAATCGTACATTAAAATCTATTGTGGATGTTATTAAATTATCAAACACAAATTGGCATTATTGTATCAGACATGTGTCTCTGCAAACAATTAATAAAAGACTTTATTAATATATGTACAATTGTTTTGAATATGTAAACTGTACATAAAGCTACCTTTCTAAGTGTTAATAAGCTACCAAATTAGAAATAATATTCTTCAGAAAAATAATACAAAGAGTGAAAGGGAAAAATTTACAAAATAGCTTATGTTTTTCTAATAATATGAATATTTTTTTTTTCCATATTTTCCGCTATTATCATTACTGAATTTCCTGTGCATGACAGCTCAAACTGTGATTCTGGAATGTGGCCTTCTGGCTAACTACAACACAAGTTAAATATCTATTCATGCAAAAATATAACTTAAGTTTATGAACTGTAGTGGCCATAATTTTCAAATAGTGCAAATACTGGCTGTCTTAGCATTTCCATAAATTACAAGTAAATTTTCCATGTTTTCATTTCACTGTTTACCTCTGCAACAAATACTTAATATTTAATCTAGTAGTATTGAATCTAACCGCTACGATAATAGCACATTGTGTTAAAAATATGAAGAGATTGACTCAATCTTTATTTTTAGTTAACTTTACCTATCATACTTTCTTAATCGTCGTCATCTTCAGACTCTTCTTCTTCAGCAGTGGCAAGCCACGTCAGCCATTGGTTCACCTGAAAATATAAAGATAGTCATTATATTTATTCTTATTTTATTGCATTCAAGAGTGTAAATGCCTCTAACAGAAAGCACTACACAAGAAAAATGTACACACAAAATACTCTACATAAATAAGTTTCATTGTGAGGCTTAGAGAGTGGAGAAGGTTTTAGTTGAACCCAGGACCTTAGGTTTGGAAGGCAAGCACCACAAGGTTACAGCTCCTCTACAATAATTTAATGATACTCTTTACTGGTATAGCATACTGCCATATTTGCAGACAAGTTGCTAGGCATTAACTGCCAACTATACTTGGTTTAAAGCTTAGGAATAATATTTATGGCTAGCCTGTGCATTAACTTCTTTGATTATTTTTCTATTAACAGTAAACATAAGAGACATCTAGTTGAGCTCAGTTGTCGTGTGTACATGATGTTGTTGCCTAGACTACCGTACCTGGAAGAGTGCTTCTCCCTTGCCCATGAATTCATCTGTGACATCTTCCTTCCAGTTCAGAAATGCTTCTTCATCTATCACCTCCATGTCATAAAGGTTCACAAAGAATCTCAGCAACATACCTGCCAAAACAAATGTTAAAAGTGTTAGTAGTTGGTCAACCTACAAGATTTGGTATGTATTGTTTCTTAATAGATATAGCATGCATTATGACTATACCTCATTAATATTAATTAGCTCATAACATTTCATTGGTCAATTCCACCAGGTAAGGGGCGCGCTGGTATTTTACAACTTCCCTGCATGTGCCAAATTTACACATACTTGGATTAACAATAAGGTATTCACATGGCATCAAGTTATTAATAAGCCTTAGTAATCTGCCAAAGGTTATATTTTTTAACTGACCTTTAGGAAAGTTTGTATGAAAGCAGTGTGTCTGAAGTGCATACAGCGCCACCATCTGCAGGTTCAAATTCTCATGAACAAATCGCTGCAGCAGCGGTTTGAACTTATTGAGCAATGCCTTCTCCTTCTCCTGTACCACTTTATCTGGGACAATGGTCACATCCATACCATCTTGAAGGCTACTCTCCTGGGTCACATACTTCAAAATCCTTCAGGAAAAGATAATCAAATCATAACTTTTAGTGACTTTCCCTAAGATCGAACACTTTCATTACAATGTTCAAAAGTATATGAAAATGGCGTGTACATGAAAAGGTATGCACCCCTGGTCCTGGTGGGTTTTATTGATTTTGTATGTGTGTGATGTTTAAATAATCATTTAACCTCACTAGTCTTTGCAATTAATAAATTTCAGCTTTGCAACTGAAGTAAATGGATGGTGTTTTTACACCACAGGTAATTCATCTTTGATCTTCTATTTCTAAACTCACCCTGTGGTCAAAGCATTGATAAAGCCTTTCTCCTTATGAAGGCTTGGGTCTACTGAGTCCTTTATCCACTTATACAGTGTCTGTGGGTTAGGATCTGTTTTAATCTGCTTCCAAATATCTCCCTGTAGCCGTAACAATGGAAATAAGAAACTAAGGTTCTGCAAAAAAGGGAAAAGTCAAACAAAAATTATAGTTGGTGATCTAAGTTTAAGAAAAGCAAAAGTACTTGTGACATTTTTATTGAAAGAATATTTTAAGATGAACAGTACGTTTTTTTTGTTTATACCCATGTATGATATATTTGTTGTGTCTATTTTCAACCATTAACATAGGAGGGAAAACAACTGTAGGTCAATATCTAGAAGAAAAAAAATATACTTATAACCTTATTACTTATAATTATTAAAATATACAAAGATAGATTCTCCCATACTTATAATAATTATAATCTCACAAAACTTAATTTTCCAAAATATTGTCCCATTAAATTCTAGTACATATTTTAAAATTATATACCATTTACTTTACTTTTGATACCCCTTTTCTTAATTGACGATTAAGTTGACCATGCTTACCGTAGATACCCACGCTCACACTGTTTCAGGTGCAAGGAACAATTCCATGGCATATATATAGCTAACAAAAGAGTAACCCCTTACCTAGAAGTGGTCTAGTTTCAGACCTTGTTTGGGGTGAATTGAACAAAAAAGAAACTGGATACAACTTACCTTCCCATCTAGGATGTCAATCATCTTTTCCTTGTTCTGATCAATCTCTGGCAACATCTTCAGCAGGTTGATCTTGCTGTCATTCACCAGCTTCACCAACCACTCCTTGTCCTTCAACTTCTGCAGACGTTGTAAGCACAGCATGATCAGCGGGTAGTATGCACCATTTTCCATCGGCTCGCACAGCTCCGATAATGTAACAACGTTATCAATGACTGCTCGTGCTGCGTACGTAGCGATCGAGGACTTAATGAGCGGGTAGTCAACCTCCAGTTCGGTCAATTGACCCAAGAGCTCATTAAAACCCTGTTGAATTGTTAGACATTTGATGTTAAATGTGAGAAAAATACATAATCAAAATTTAATAAGGAAATATAAATTGAAAAAATAGTAACATTTTAAGTTATTCAAAGTTTCATACTTTTGGGTCTGGAAGGACATCTATGATCTAATAACCTAATTATTGACAATAACCTGAAAATACATACAAACTCGCCTTTCTACCAAACTCAAATAGCCTACCTCCATAAAATGAGTAGCATTCACGACATTTTCCTTTTTCAAAGAGGCAATTAGTGTGCTCAGTGTGTCACGGTCTGAATCCGTTTTTGGCAGGCCGTATTTCATGACGGTGCAAACAACGGCAGGAACAAACTTGTTCTGAACCTTCTCCTTCACACTCTTGGTGGCGTCTAGTACGGCACCTGTTTTTTCAAGCTCCTGCAAAATTATTTCCTGAAAAAAATTCAAAAATGATTATTTTAAGTTAAATTTGATTGCAAATTTTTAATTCTTGTGTTGTGATTTTGGCTTAATACAAGATTCTTTAAATGACTACCAGCTAAATTAGGAGTATATGGAAATAATAAAGAAAATTTAGTATTTATGCATCTGTTAGTTAATTCATTATCAGTTTATAACTATTTATTTACCAAAATAATTGCGATGTTTATGCATATGTCTAAGTGCACTTTTATTAACTAACTTCAATATACCAAGTACACAAAGTATTGAATAATTTCCTTTTTCATGTAAACATTTAGCTCAACATACCGTATATTCAGTGGAAAATTCAAGGGGGGGCTCAGTCAGCCTGGGTCCTAACTAAATTTTCACAAAATATAAAAACTTTAAATCTGACAGTGCCATAATCATAAATTTTCTTACTCAGACCAAACCAATGTGGGCTGAGGTGGTGTAGACCTTCATCTGTGAAGGTCCCTCCCTAGGCCCCTTTATTCCAAATTCCTAGACCTGCCACTGATATCTTTAACACAGAATGAACGTTAATAATGGATAACATACCAGTGCAGTTAGGACATCTTTCTTGTGATTGGTCCGTTTCTTGACTGGTTTTGGCTTCTCCTGTATGGCTACCTGTTTAATTGGCACCTTAGCCGGTTGGTTAAGCGGTACAGCCATTTGTGGCTTTAGCAGTGATTGGGGAGTTTTGGAAGGGGGAATGCTGGTTTTCTTGGTGCTTGAGGGCAGCATACCGGGGCCTTGAGGCTTCAAGATTAAGGACTGGTTTGGACGAAGGCTCACCTGAAGATAATAAGAACATAAAATAAAATAGTATTGTTATTGTTTATCAATTTTGTTAATTAATTGAGATATTTTATTTATCTGTTTATTTATCGAGGTATAAAAAACTTTAATAAATACAAAGAGGTAGTAAAAAGCTAAAATGCTTGCATAACAATACATATAAAATATAAACAAGGATCACAAAGATCATCAACAGAAAAAAATGAACAAAATGACAAATACCTAAATGATATACACAAGAATTATAAGTATATTAGGAATAAATTTTGTGTTGTTATGAATATTTGAAGAGTTATTTAATGCAGGACTCAACAACAATGTAATTATTTCATATGCAAACTCACTTCATCCCCGTCATAGTTTGTTTTAACAGTACTTGGATTTTGTAACTAGATAGATGTCACACTTCCAAAGCTGTGCTATGTACAATCTCACCGATTAATAAGGGTGACCTTTATAAATACCCCAAATGTCTTAAGAACTGATTCATATAATAAAGAAAAGTATGTACTAATAATTTACCCTTGCTGCTTCCTGGCGTACTTGTTCAATTAGTTTTGGACCCTGGTCTCTCATGGCTCGTCTGGGTACCCACTGGAGTAAAGACATAACAAAATACTTATCATTGTATGTTCTATCTATAGTTCATGTATTTCCGGTACACAAAAAAATGAGTTAAAGTATACAAGTAATCAGACCCTAAGAATTACATAAAAATAATATTAAATCATATTAAAATTTTCCTTTTACAGATATAATAGCAAAATAGTTACAATAAATACTTCTCATCAAAATAAAATTTTCAATAAATCAAGTTTTACATTGTACAATATATTCAATTTAGCAAAACAATAAATTACATCGAAGCCAAATTTATCTATCATTAATATAATAAATAGTACAGATTTTTTTTTTAAATTAACCAACTATATTTTATTTTTATTTTTAATTATTTTTTTATATTTTATATATTTGTGAATAAGATCAAATTAATACTTACATCACTACTACGAAGCTCAAGACAGTCCTGCAGCATAAAGCGGATTCTTGCTGGCAGCTCCTGGTTCTCCGACAGCTTCAGCATCCTCTCAAAATATTGATCCATCAAGGCCTACAACCAAACAGACACATGCTCATGACATTCTTCTTTCATAATAAATATTTCAATAAACGGTACAAAGAAAAACAAGATAATCTGAGATTACAAACCCTCGCCCAGTTGTGCCATATCTACGTACTTAAAAAATAACTGCCTCAGGTCTATCCGCTGAAGTAGGCTTGGCCTAGCCAAAGTAGCCTAGCACCATAGGCTTTCCGTGGAAAACTCATTAATCAGGAATGGTTATGTCTGTCGTAGGCTAACAAACTTAACAAACTAACAAATTAAAATTTAAAATTTGACTTATTTACTTTATATATTTAAATTAAAATGTTAGCTTCCTATTGAAAATTGCTGGTATGCAATATTCATTTACTAGTTAAACCAAAAAAAATGATTAATGTTACAGATTTCTGTTTTTGTTCACCTTGGCTTTGTTTGTATCAAGCCTGCGGCCGATTGTCTTCATTATTTGACAGAGGCATTCCAGATCTTCCGCCCTATCACTAATTGACTCGTGCTTCTTCTTATCAAGCAACTGTTGGAGCAAAAAAAAAACCCTTAAAATGTTAATTGAAAAATGGAAAAACAATGCATAAGACAGAAATCAAACTACTGCATTCTATGTAGATGATGCAACACATCATGGTTATGTGGAAACTACAAGTATAACAGGGAGGCTGTTGTGTTATGTAGCTCATAAAATATGCCATGATCTAACCCTTGGCTTTATGGGTTGCTAAATACTGCAGATACTATGGCTCTCCAAAGCCTAGTTCAAATTAAATACAGTTACATTCACATTAAATAGTTACTTTACTATTACAACACTAGGTAGAAAGACTGAACTATCATACATGGCTTACACAACATGCTAAACACTCGCAATGGTAAATCCATGTACACCGTGGCATCCTCTACTCTTACTATACTACACACTGTCTACATTAGTTTAGGAATAAAGATGAAAATACTAATAAGTAATTATTGAAATTGAAAGGAGGTGTACACACTTGCTTGATACACCTGTGAAGGATGGATTCGTGTAGCATGTCCAACTTGCCAAGCTCACCTGTAAAAAACAAAAAAATAGTCCTATGTATGTGAATCTGTTTTACTTAAACCACTCTATCTGTAGTAGGAGAAAATGGGGATGGATTGGCCATACGCTACACAAACCTAGCACCATCACTAGACAAGCACATACATGGAATCCAAGGAATACATGGGAGAGATCTTCAAAAAGTGTGCTGGATATAGGATGGATGGATTTTATTGGTGTAAACACCAAGAATAACCCATGTAAGTTTGAAGAAAACTTATTTCCAGTATGATAATTCTGGTGGTGATTGAGCAGTACAACGGGAGACAATACCCTAGTCTTTTCCAAAGAGTGTACTGCGTTCTTTAACATGCACACAGGCCTTAATGCACATAGGCTTAAACGTCTCATCAGAAAGACAGTGCGCTATCATAAATTGCATTTCAACTCTCCAGCTGAAACACAAGGAGAGCAGCGATGGAAATAGAACCGGGGACCAAGAGATCTCCACAGTTCAGCACCCACACAGTGGCTACCACCAGTTTAGCCGACTGAGCAAAGCTGCATCTCTAAATATATGGCTCCGAGTTGGAAGGAATTGCCCCAGAACCGTGTGAGGTGAAAACATGTAGTTGATGGCCTATGCACCGCCAGGTATAACAATGCTTAAGTAAGTAGTGTTGCATGGTGGTAATACTTGGGGCTTTTAATGGAGAGACTGATATGGTTCACAATACTCATGTTCTTTGATAAGACACTTTTATTAAATGTTTGCATTTAAGAGTGTAAGTGGGTTCCTGATCTTTGTCAGCTTGGAAAATTGTTCCATGAATGATCTTGTTATGAGTGTTTCTTATGTTTTTTAATGTCCTGAACACTTACAGATGAACTTGATGTTGCCGAGCATCTTAAGCTTGGCAACATGCCGTTGCTCCTCTTCCTCCATGTCCAGGTACCCATCTTTGTCGTAGGCTGAAAATAAAAATTCAAGATTCAATTTCATTTTCTATTCAAATATATCTATTTATTTATAATGTTAATATCTTTATAAATTTAATGAAAGTGAACAAATCCAGCAAATACTCGTAATTTGAAAAATTTATTAATTTTTTTTTTTTATCTATAAGCATTTATACGTCGCTATTTTCAGCAGATTCATAGCGCAGAGTGTCAAATTCAATGTAAAAACTGTAAATGTGTTGGACCAAAAAAAATTTAAACAAACCTTTGAAAGCTTTAGACCGGTTTTCAAATTCATCTTGACACTTAGCAATGAGGAGACGTTGGAAAGTCTGCAATATATTAATAAAAATACAAGTAGTTTAAAAGGTGATATTCCACATTGATCACAGTGCTTAACAAAAAGGAAAACTACACAAACAAAATTACTAATAATACAAATACATATTGTATTGGTACAGTATGCTTATCCTGTGAGATTATGCATGTCATTTTCATCCTTACTGGTTTATCAAGCAAATCAATATTCTATGACTAACAATTAATTATGTGACCATTCCATTCCATGAAGACTTTCATTACATTCTTCCATGCTTGCTTAGTAAATGACAAACTTGTATATATTACCATATTTTTATAATATAAAACTTATAATTTTGCAAATTATAATTGTTTATACCTGATAAATGAATATGGAAATGAGTAGAATATAAAAAAAAAACTTAATTTATCCAGTAGTTCATTTAAAGCATATTATCATTTTTACATTAATTTATTCAGGTATGCAAATCAGATGACATATACTCACGGCAGGGCCTGCAGTACCAGGGGGTTCAAAATTAGGGGCTAGTTCACAGAGGCGTTTACATAGCTGAGCGTAGGTGAAACTATACTTGGCTTCTTCAAGCGCTTTGTCAAAAATCTGAAATAATAATTATTTTACTGGTTTTGGATTCAAAATTTAAACAGTATTTGACTTTAGAATACTGTAATATTAAGATGCATAACATGAATTTGTTAAATTTAACAGTCTCTCCTTAGATAACAAACAAAAAAAAAAAAAACAAATTGAAGAACATGTCAAATACAAAGTCTCTATGTTATAAATAAGATTTGTAGCAATGACATCATTAAAAATACTATAACCTTTTTTAACTACAAAAAACATATGAAATTGCAATTACAAACAAACAGTACTCAGACGGAGGGTCACTGTACATTGTGATATGGTGCTCTCTCTCTTACTTGGCTTGAAAATTGAGTTTTATATTATTATATTGGTATCTTTTTTTTAAAACAATAGTAAGCTACATTTTAAGATGCAACTTGCAATTGTGTAAGTATGAACAGATTTTGTTTACTTACCAATAGGATAATTCCTTTAAGGATAGCTTTGGAATCTATGCCAACACTAAGTAAATCATTGCAGAGTTTGTCAAACTTTTCAGGGGCAAGTTTATTAAGAATCCTAAAGAAGAGAAAAATTAAATCTTTGAGAAAATTAATTCCATATTTTTTTGGTATAAGATTTCACTGTGTAATAATAACAATTAACCATGTCAGGAAACGCTATGACACTATTGCAAGTATGTAATCTTTTTCATGAACATTATGAATTATGTTTATGTTTTTAACAACCATAAGAAAATTAATATAAAATAAAAATCTGAAAGAAAATTTAGTAAATTAACTATAGGTATTAATCAAACCTTTCCATAATAATGAGAATTTACATATTCACGAGAGAATTTACATATTAATGAGATTACTGTAACTACATTATCATGACAATAATTAGTAATTTAGTAAGACTTCAATGTTTATAACAATAAAAATCAATGAACACATGGCTTTCAATAAAGTTTCAAATAAAATGAGAGAGTAATGAAATGAGTTGTCTCAAGACAAAAAAAAAGCCCAAACTGACCCTCGACAACGACGGAAAACAATGTTATGCTTTTCATAATCTGAGATTACAGTATGACGCTGAGTGCTTGGAGGAACCCATCTCTGATTTTTACGCACTGACACATCTTCTCTGTAATCATAAATCATAATTAGATTGGTAAATAATATAAACACTAATGTAACTTAGAGGTCATTCAATTTCAATATTATCTAATCACATGTACAAGGTCACAGGAACCATTCTGTTTTACCAACATCTTCTCATCTAGAATATCTGATCTTAAGAGTTACAACCTTGGTGGTAGTCCCGGAAAACATGATGTTGTTGTTGATTTGTATACTTTATCTCAAGAAATTGATTACAGCTCAGATACAGAATGTAGTAAGGTTTTTACCTAATTGAAATTTGTGGTGTCTCTTGCTGCCGGCTGGATTCACCGTAATACGCATGAGAAGCACCACTTCCTTGACGTGGCCCTTCCACTTTGTTAATTTGCGCCGGAAAAAGCACTCTGAAAACTCAACTTTTGGTATCAAGGCTGAGGAGTTTAAAAATAAACCAATATAATATATAACTGTCTGAAATCTTAATAACACACCACATAAGTTTAAAATTCAAGCATACAAATCTCTTGTCAGCCGACACATCAACTAGCTTTTCTGTCTGGTTGAGATCTCTTGCAAAGAAAACTTTAACAAAGTGTAGATGGTGCAACGGTGGAGCAGAAAAAGTTCTATCACCACAATGCTGGAAAATTCTTAGACATCAGGACCAGCAACTTGTCATTATGCACCCTGTTGTATACTACTAGTCTACAACTTCGAAGGATTCCAATAAAATTAGAGATTCTAAAAATGACTGCACAACAGAAATTGGAATAACCTTCTTTTAATATTCAATTATTCATCGACCTCTACCTCACAATGTTTCAGTGTTGCTCCATTTGAAGGAGCCTATCAATTATCATTCATCAAGACCACAGGCCCGTACGCAGGGGGAGTAATGGGTGCATACGCACCCCTCTTCCCCCCCCCCACCAAATTACCAAAGGTCCACATTTTCAAGGGTAGAAAATTCAAGACACACTCTTGCACATTCTAGAAATCCATCCACCAAAATTCCTTGACCAATCAAAGCAGTTTCCAACTAGGATTAGGACATGTAGTTCTAGGGATACCATAATTACAAATTTTCTTACCTCAGCCCCAGCCATGGTGGGGCTGAGGTGGTATGAACCCTCCATCTATGATAAAAAAAAAGTGCATTTAATTAAGACCTCAAAAATGTCTGAGCGCGAGGGCCTCCGCCCACTCGACCACAGCAGGAATCTGCGGACCCAGCCATTTTGGTCCACTCTCCACAAATTCGCACGCACCCCCCCCCCCACCCAATAAAAATCCTGTGTACGGGGCTGGGCCAGCAATATTATCATAATAATGCTACCTACAATTTTAAAGTACAACATTGTTTGTTATCAAAATATAATTAAAATAAAAAATATACGATTAAGCATTTTTATGTAGTATTTCTGAACCATAGATCACTTATACTATAGTATTTAATTAAAGCTTGAACATGCCTAGCCTAGGCATAGGCATATGGCCATGTAATACGAATTTGTTTAGGCCTAGCCCAATCAGTGCAATGGGTGGTAGCCTACAGCAAGCTAGGCCTAGGCCGTATCATCTGGTAGGCTTGTCCTCGGGCTGCGAAGTCACATCCTTGTTCAACATCGAACACATTGCAAGCAAAAAATGAAGTAATTTCTGCACTTCTCAACAAACAAACACCAAAACCCGTAAATTAAATAGATATTTAACAAGCAACTTAAATTCCATTAACCTTAATATAAAATATAATTATTATTTGAAGAATTAGAAACACAAATCTTACCAGTAGGTAATGTGTAGAGAAAACTCCCGTCTTTTGTTACAAGATGATTGCGACACAAAGAATTCTGGGCAAATTCATTTACACGCGAATGGAGTGAGCCACCAACCTCATCATGATTCATTCTATCTCTTCCAGCTACGGGAAGATAAATAAATCGATACAAATTAATTTGCTTATCTGATTGACGATATATATATTATATATATTATAATTTATAGTTGATGTTAGGCTATAAAACATGACGAACAAAAGGTAAAGATATATTATATATGACGGCACGACAGGTAAAATTCAACTGAGTTCAAGCAGGTGGATGGAAGCAATTGGCGGACAAAAGATGGTACATCATGAGAGGACAAATTCCCTAATAATTTTTATTTCATTAAACATCTGTAACAACTTCACTCTTCTGCTTTAGTTTTTATATTATATGTAGATCAGACTTAAAAACTATATACATTAACGATAATTTTTTGGATCGTGGATCGAGTTGGGATTAAAAGGGTGTGGCATTCTACAGGCCTACTATAGGTAGGTAAGACTTGATGAAGGTTTGCATGGCGAATTGACAATAATAATTGTGAGCTTTCGGTACACGTGACATGCTATAGGCCTAAATCCCAATTGACCCGGGTACTAGGTTCATAGGGACATTACAATCCAAATGGTTCTCCTCAGATAGGCCTAGGCTATTGAAATTGGGTAAGGGGGAGGGGGATGATGGAGTCGTAAAGGTGAAGGGCTCAACGATTAGGTGAGGGGCGCTGTAGCTCAGAAAATAATGTTGTTAATTGAGGTGATTTTCTACTTGATATTTTTTGGGGTGGGGTGACAGGGGGAGTATTTTGTTGGAGGGGTGGGGTGGGGGCATAGTTTCAACTGTCAGTACTGTTGGTGATTTGTTGTTCAAGGTTCCATGATAGCATACTTTCTACGTGTCTGTATGTATTAATCCATTTTGTTCCCTACCGATCAGAAATGAGATGAGTGAGAACATGAGATGGGATGAAAGTAAAGGAATTGAATGGAATGAAATTTCAGTAGAACCCTTCTTTTGGGACACCCCTATTCAGGGGAAAACCCCTATTAAGGGGAAACGAGGGGAAATATATCTTTTAACACTAAAGCCAACCCTTATCAAGGGGACACCCCTATTATGGGGACGGGAACATTTTTGAGTGTGCTAAAATGGTCAAATCGTATTTAACCCGTTATTAAGGGGACACTGGTTTTATTGTATTAAAATAACTACTGCAGTCTCAAAGTAAGAAGAGTAACATTATGAGCTGTCTCTTATACACATCTAGATGTGTATAAGAGACAGATACAGGCCAGGGGTGTAGGCCTATCCAGGTTTTTTTCTGGGTGGGTCGCGATCATAATTCTGTCTCTTATACACATCTAGATGTGTATATTGGGACACCCCTATTCAGGGGAAAACCCCTATTAAGGGGAAACGAGGGGAAATATATCTTTTAACACTAAAGCCAACCCTTATCAAGGGGACACCCCTATTATGGGGACGGGAACATTTTTGAGTGTGCTAAAATGGTCAAATCGTATTTAACCCGTTATTAAGGGGACACTGGTTTTATTGTATTAAAATAACTACTGCAGTCTCAAAGTAAGAAGTAATTTTTAAAATTCATTCAAATTTATATTTTGAGCAAGTTAACATTAAACAAGAAACCTCTTCCTAGAATGGACATAATCCTGGCGTGTGGTGCATGTGTTACTTCGTATAAACAATCTTGTCAATTTTTACCATTAACCCGGGGATTAAATGGGGATTTCTTGTTTAGTGTATTTTTATATAGGATTCTAATCTATACCGTAGAACATGCGCCCTGATTTCTAAGTCGTTACTCTAGTATTCTATCTTGTGCATCCAATTTTTTTTTTTTTTTTTTTTTTTTTTTTTTTTTTTTTTTTTTTTTTTTGGAATATTTGGTCATTAACATTGCACTCGAATCATGAAACAATATCGGGAACGTATACAACTTTTTAAATGAATTATTTTGGCATTACAAATTATTGTTATAAATTAGTTATTTTTATAATTCAACTGTAACTCATTCTTAGCCAATTAAAATAAAATAAATAATGAGGAATCCATGTCATCATTGGACGAAAACCCCTATTAATTAAGGAGACACTTAAGGACACCTAAAATAGGGGTTTAATCAAAGATCTTTGGTTTAATGTATCTCTGATTTGAGATATGATGCGAAGAGATCAAATGCGATGAAAGGAAAGGAATTAAATAAATTAAATCAAATTAAATGAAACAAAATGTTATTAATTGAAGCGAAATGACACAAAACTAAATGAAATGAATGAAAATCATAATGAAATAAAAAAGAAAATAAATAATTATTATTTATTTGCAATAGCGCCCTCTGTCCACAATACGCTTGCATAGCAACTACACAGACTGTATCTATAATTTTCCACTGATTTGAACAAAATGAATAGGAGGAACGCACGTCATTAAACATGGGTTGTGGAAATAGTAAGGAAGAAAGCAGTGAGGAAGGGGGACTTACAAATAGGAGGCCCCTAGTTGAAATTGAGATTGGCAGCAATGTCAAGAAAACTGAAATTGTGTTCGTTTTCGGTAAGAAAATGAAATAATATCAATCACTTTCAGGGTAAAGAAGAAAGCACAGACAGCCTTGCTTAACTTAACTCCACTTCAGCTGTCACACAGATGGCGCGAGAGGAGATAAAGTTGAAATGAGTAGGCCTAGGCCTATCCTTAGATTTTCTAGGACCTACGCAAAACATTGAATAGTATTTAACATACTTTAGCAATTTACATGTAGGCCTAATGCTCGTAGCAGTACTGGGCGTACATATTCTACTAATCTAGGGCATACAGGCCAGGGGTGTAGGCCTATCCAGGTTTTTTTCTGGGTGGGTCGCGATCATAATTTTTTGGACCTTTTCAGTGGGAGACAGGAAAATCAATTACAGCACCACCAGCTTGAAGCGGATGGCACCCTCAGTTTCAGAATTGCTAGAATTGAGATGGGCCTAGATTACGGCATGCAATTGGCAAGGGCTTTGAACTTCTTGCTGGTACCTCATCATCAATGCTTTTTCATTTAGGCTATGTCATTGTGGAAAGGCCCTAGAAAAAAATGTCTTTGGAAAAATGTGGACCCTTGAATATTGTTTTTTTCTTCCTGACCCACTAAATAACTAACGCTGGTCTATAATCAAGCCTATCCACAAAGCCGTCGCAACGGCTGGCCAGGAGTAAAGTGTTTCAGTGTCTTACCATAGGAAGGCCAGTGTTAGCCTCGGCTAACTCCCCAAACAGATTCCACAACCGTTGAGACCAAAATTTACCACTACTGGTTACTACCGGCACAAACATGTCCGGCTGCCTACCTGCAGTACACTGAAACAAACCCTCACTAGCACCACACAACATCGTTTACCACGACCAATTTGCATATTAACCAACCCATCTGCACCAAATAAGTTTGCAATAAACAAGTATGGAACAGCAAGAGCGCCTTTAGGGACATCAAAATTGCTGGTTTTCATGACAATGTATGATTTGTTCATCATTTTTGTGTAATCTACTACTAGCAGGGCCACGTTCGGCTGCCTGGGCTTTGGGACAACGAAGCTACCCTGCCCTAAGCGGGGGAGGGGGGGGTGGCCAGCAGAGTTCCTGCATTTCATGTAATTAAATGCCTAATTTGGACAATTAGAGACACAATAATATGTGTTTTCCCCAAATACACAAAAAGTGCAGATGCGGTAATGACAGCTAGGCATATGTAGTACCGCATTTAATTGCTTATGAACACTTTACCAATTACCAAAAATTGTCTCAATTTTTATTTAATTTAATTGTTATTATTTTTAGCTAATGTTGATGGGAACAAACATTTGTATTGTAATGTCATTCCAACACTTTATGTAATATTTAAACTCTGCAAAAAAACTAACACCACTTGGCCTAGGCCCCATACCACGTAAAAACAATATTTCTCTCAAATCATTGTTTTTAGACCCTACTTTGTAATTATTGGTTCATATCAAACATTTTTTGCTTTACCTTAATTTTAATCAGTGGTGATAAATAAGACAATTTATTATAATGTAAAATATATTAAAATATTATGATTAACAATATGAGAAAGTACTATGAATTTATTAATTTAAATTTAAAGTTGATTACATCCTGTATTTTGATTACATCCTGTATTTTGTATTTTCAGACATTCTGTAATAATTTGATGGAAACAAAAGCATATATCATTATGGATTGCACACTTAGAAAAAAATATTGAATGTAAATTAATTCAATGAAATTATAATCATTTGAAATAATCAAATCCATTATTATATTTTTGTATATTGAAATAATAAATGAGTAACATTATGAGAAAGTATATGAATTTATAATTAATTTAAATTTAAAGCTGATTACATCCTGTATTTTCAGACATTTTATAATAATTTAACTTTTAAGGGAAACAAAAACATATATCATTATGAATTGCACACTTACAAAAATATTGAATGTAAATTACATTTAGTGGGTTATGTTTCAGTAAAAATGAGGTCTGTTATTTTAAATATTTTATTCATCCTACTTATGCAAATAAATGACTAAAATAGTAATAAATAATTACTGTACCTGTATGTTGCATGCATATGTATGCACTTTTCTCTTTAAAAATATGGGTTACTTTCTGAGTACAGTTACTATTTTATTAGTATCAAAGCATGTTGATTAAATTATTACCCATTAAGGATAATCAGGAATGAGATTCCTGATTAATTTAAATTTAAAGCTGATTACATCCTATATTTTCAGACATTTTATAATAATTTAACTTTTAAGGGAAACAAAAACATATATCATTTACTTAGGTTTGCTATTTTTTATTGTGTGCTATTTTCTATTTTTATTGTATTAATTTTATTGGTTTATAATGTAATTTCTATATTTTGTACATAAATATTTATATTGAATTTTATGAATCCTGTAATTGGCGTTTTACGCTGTTGGATGGAATGAAATAAAATAAAATAAATAAATAAATAAATAAAGATATGCTTTATTGCAATTACATGTATACACAACCAGTGGCACACGTAAAAATCATTTGCCTTGATGCAAAAATATGACACACATAAAAGTGAAACATAGTTGTTCATTATTAACAAGTTATCACATAAATGAATACACATTATATAACTTAAAGATGTATTGTCCCATAAAATTGACAAAAAAAAAATATTTTTGAAATTAACTTGCTCATTTTGCAGTATACATTTATTAACTTGAGCATAGAAATTATTGAACTAAATAAATATGTAGCCTGATTTTTAAACTGGATACTGCTAATTATAATAAAAATAATAAAAACTCTTCAAGTGTATGAAAGTGTTTCAATATTTTTTTGCTGTAAAGCAAAGGATAACAATTTTTGAAATATACTTTTTTTGTATGTTTTTATAATACAGGACAAATTAATTAATTTCTGATATGATTGTTATGATTTTTTTTGCATGAGACAATCTTTAAGTATTTATCTTTAAAAGCTTAAGTTAACTACATAAACAAACATTTCAAACTACAAATCAAACATTAAGACATTTCCTATATCTGTTAGGATTTTAGTTCTGTGGTTACCATTATATCTTCCAACTTGCATGGTAATAATGGTGATGGTATACTAAACCTTATAAAATTAGGTCTAGGCCAGTAAGAAACAAAATGGCCAATCAACTGACTCTGATTTTCAAAAGACACAAACATTTTTTTTTGGTCTAATTTACAATTCATAATCTGATGAAAAAAATGATGGGAATATATTTAGAAAGAAATATTGTTGATTAATTTTTCAGGTGGACCTGGATCAAAAAAGGGACGAATTGTGGATGATCTGGTGCATATGTATGGGTTCAAATCACTGATTGTTGAAGACTTAATTGCTAGAGAGTTGCCCAAGAAAATACAGAGTCCTGTAGCTATAGGCAATACAAGAGAAATGGCTAAACTGCTCATGGTAAGTACCTATTATTAAAGTCAATCAATTACTTTCCAACCACATCCAATCACTGTGTATAAATTAGACTGCCTGTCTTGCTTTCTGCTATGTTCAGTAGCGGCACAGGGCCATCTCTAGATTGATAGTGACAATTTACTAAAAGGGGCCCCTGATCATTGTATTTAATTCTTTTAAATAAGTGACTAGAAAAGTCATTTATAGTGATTAATTCACTCTTGGACCTTTGTATTTATTACCAGGTAATGATTTTTGTGATGATTATTGTATTTTAATTTGTTACAAATGTAATAAATTATATAAATATTGACATAAAGTGTTGTAATATTTGTGGTAGCATTATTAATATAATGGAAAACACAGACATAAATACCTTTTTTGATATGCAACATTTATCAACACCCACATAGGCCTACCTTTTTTTTAAATTAATGGCTAAAGCGACATGTAATAAAACTATAAGTGCTTTGCCCAAGGACACAGGCAATGTGACTTGTGAGCAATATATAGAACAATATGTTCTGCTAAAGATTCCTCAATACAAAAATTCCTGTGTAAAAAATATTAATTTCAAATTTTAATGTTCTTTATTTATTCTACATTTATGTTTCTGAATAATATATAACTAATGATTTTTATTTTCTATATTTCCTCTGTTATATTTTATATATCATTTATATTATATAATGTACTATGTTATTTTAATTTTAAATTATTTTATATATTATTATAAGCAGTACTGTGAGATAAATGTGACTGAAGATGACATTACATTTTAGACAGAAAAGTCTTATGTGTCGGCAATGTGTACTCGATTACTTGCTTTTCAGACAACCATTTACATAAAAAATTATAGAACATAATTATTGGATACACAATAGTACAGTACCTATTAGTATATAAATAAAAATATATAATGCATCTCATAAACATGAGCCAGTGATATGCATACTGTACTCTCATCGTTCTGTGGTATATGATAATTGGCTGTTTCGTGAGGAGAGTCCCTGGATGAATAGACAAATTTGATTCCTCCCAATAGACAAGTGCACTGCATTTATGAATTTCTGCACAAATGCATTTTTTATTCATCTACTTAAAGATCTTGTCAGTACATTTGTCGGACGTAAATGTAAAAAATGGTGAAGAAGTAAGTAAGTAAAATGGTAATCAAAAAGTATTTCTTCCCAAATGAAATAAAATGTGATATGATATATTTATTATTATAAAATTTTTTATTATATAATGGCTATCCATCAACTGGGGCCGGTTTTCTATGGTGGAAATGTTTCATATTTTAGTAAATTCCTGGTAATGATTAGAGTACAAAGGAATACTTCACAGCATGTTTCTTAAGCAGTTGATATTAATCTTTATCGTACTTTAATTAAAACTATTATGAATAATTAAAGCAATTGGGAAACAGTACTGTGTCTATGGGAAACAGTACTGTGTCTATGGGAATTATGAAGCACCTTCAAAATCAGCTTTAAAATCATTAATTATTTTATTTGTGTTTCAACACCAGCCATGTAAAATACGATTCTATTTCAATTTAAGAGAATGTATAATCAAAGATGGTTTATCCATGGTAAGTCTGAAAGGCTACACATTGAGTACTTCATAGCCTTCCTTGTTATGCTGACTCAACAATTGATTGCATTATGCCCAACAAATTGTTGTTTGTCTACAGCGAAAATACTTTTCATTTAATATTAAACAATTCATCAAATTAATGATGTGTAATCCTGCATCTAGACTTGCTTGAGTACATCCCTCAGCTGCAACAGGTCAGGACTCCCAGGGCTTTCCCAGGGGCCCCCTTTGCTAAAAATAGCAACACTTAAAAAATGTCTCTTACTGCCAGTCGTGCTGTTTTTCTAGCCCTGCATCCACCTTTACCTATCTACTGTATCCAACATACCTATCGACCTGTCCATCAATTCATGATACATCAATTTATGTATCCATCTATCAATCCATCAAATTACTGAATGGAGGGGAGGCATTATAAAGAAAATGGAGAAAATTATATTTAATTTAAGTCTGAGAGTGTCATTTCCGGCCATCTAAAAAGTGCAATAATCATAAAATTTCTTCCTCAGTCCCAACCAAGGTGGGGATCAGCTGGCTAAACATCCTGACATTCTCTCCCTGGGTTCCCACTATTTTGAATTCCTGAACCCGCCACCGAAGCTATTCTTTTTTTCTAATCTGTGGTCTGGGTTTTTATCCATCTGAAGTGTCTAGTTACGGACTGGGGTTTTTGCTTTCTTTAGTAATGAATGTCACATATCTACCCATCTGTTAAATTCATCAAAACATGTTATCATACTTCATTCTGGGTACTGTATATAGCCTTAACATTATACCTGCATGATATAGCAATTTTAATGGTATTTATTCTATGATAATCTTCGTTCGAATTTCATAAAGCCATATAGCATTCCAGCCTGCTGTGGAAACCTACCTATATTAGATAGAAACTGCCAGTGTCATATGCTTAGCAGTAATGGGAATTCAGCATATCCCTGAAATATGATCATATAGTAGTTGTTTTTTTTCATATTTGACCATTATTTAACTGCACTTTAGTTAATAACATTATCTGCAGCTTTTTATTTATATTTTGAAGTATGTGTAATATTTATTTATTGCTTAGATTTTAATTTGTTTTGTTTGGATGCTGGTTGGTGTCTGAGGACTGGCTGAAATTTTCTTTTTTAAAGAGGTTGAATTTATTCAGTGTGAAAGACATTAAGGATAAGCACTTAAAGGCTAAAGACATTTCTCATATAAGGTCCTTCTGTTGGTGAATTGGGCAATACAGTTCTTTCCAAAGAGTGTAGTTTTTTAACATGCACTCGGGCAATATTACACACTGTACCCAGGGGCGGATCCAGAGATGTCCGAAAGGGTGGCCGAAAGTAGGGCCGATCAAGATAACATTACCCTAGGGGTCTGGGGGCATGCCCCGCAAACATTTGGTGTTCTAGATGCCCGAAAATAACCTCTGAGGGGCCCCCCCCCCCCTCCTCGAATTTTTTCCTGATACCAACGGCTTAAACTTGTGTCATATGAAAGACAGTGTCCTATTGAAATATTGAGCAAAACAGTTTAGTGCACACAGAAATCGCCAGTTTAGCTGTCTCAGCTAAGTTGCTGAATCTGACAGGTTAGTTTGATGTTTACGGTATAATAATCCTAAATATATATCATAACCCACTAAACTGGGAATTAATGGCATCCCATAAAACAATAACTGCCAGCTGGTAATATATATCTAGCCACACATTTATATAGTCGGGTATGTCAATATGCTTTTGTTGAGTATGGTACACATTGTACTTGAAGCTAGCACCAACTGTATAAATTACTGACAGTTGTGGTATGATTTTACTAATCAGTTTGCCTAATTTTATTGTTTAATGGCCTCAAAATATGATACATAAAGTACAGTACATGCCATCAATCAATAATAATGATAATTAATAAATAACAATTTTTAATTACTGCTTTTCTATCATTTAAATAGCATGACATAAACTTGTGTAATGAAGTGATGGATCCAAATTTGTAATCAAGATTTGCAATTGCAAAGCATGCTCAGGGTACTGTAGACTTCAGTCTGAATATATTACACTACCTACAGTACGGTACTGCATCAATTTAAAAGGTTGTAATTTTTGTTGAATAAGATTACATATTTTTTATAGGTTAAGACTTGAATAAATTTGATTTGTTGTCTGTTTGTAGATGGGCATAGAAAGTACTTACACAACATTATTGTGTGTTTGGTGTTAAAATTATTTAGAGCAATGTTTATGTTAATGTTATGTAGAGCAAACTTGCTGTACTGCATATTTTGACTAGTAGATTTAAGAAAAACAGAATCAAATGAGACCATATGAAAATATGAAAACTTTATTCAATTATAGTATGTGTAAATGTTAATTCTGTGCTATGAAAAAATGAGATACCGTACTCGCGCGAATAAGCGCCCTGTTTGAATAAGCGCCCCGCTCAAATAAGCGCCCCTCATAATGTGAAAATTTCCGTAAGTGCCCCGTTTGAATAAGCGCTCCTTCTAATTTGAATAAATGCCCCCCCCCCCCCAAATAATCCAATCAATCCTGGGATTGTGGATGTTGGTAAGATTTGAGGTGTAGAGGTGGAATCGCATGAAGCCTTTAGTCAATATCAAAATGAGGATATTTATCTTGGACAAATGAGAGTTCCCTCTGGACAGACAGTACATTTCCAACTCTCATCTTCTTACATTTGTCTATAGCCTAGTCCTACTCCTTTTCCGACAATTTGCACCTTTAACACATTCTCATCTGAGTTTTCAAGTAACCTGCAATGGTCATGCCATTCTGCTAATCTCAATCGGCCGATGGCCAACAAGCTATAGAACAACCACTACTAATTTCATCTGCTGTATGTAATACTGTACTCACAACATTCTTGTCATGACAAGCCATGCTCTCTGGATGATTATCTTTTCCACCGCACAACCATTCGTAATTTGCAGTTTCCTTGTGCCCTTATATAATCGTTTTTCTCATAAGAACCCGATTTTCATCTATTTCCATAAGCGCCCCCTCAATTTCCACTCTGTTTTCATAAGTGCCCCGTTCGAATAAGCACCCCTCAAAAAGTGCAAAAAAATATTTTTAGCGCGCGCAAGTACGGTACTTCTACACATGAAGAGTGGCTCAATTTCAACGTTTAAACACAACCACATAATCCTGTAATATGATATTTTTTTTAAGCAAGCTAAAATGTCATCCCTATTTAACATGCAACAAACGTATTTGAACATAACTTTAATTTAATTTGGAATTGGCATATACATTGTAAGTACTGTATATATACAGTCTTATCTATTATTATACTGTCCAAGCACTTTGTATTTTTCATGCTTTATAATTCTTATTTGAAATTGTACACAACATTAATTTGAAAAGCGGTTCAAGCAAAAAATAGACTAGATGATGTTTTTTCGCCAATGGCATTTTCTGTGAAAGTTAATCACAATTAAGAAAAGTCGTTAGAACTACATTCTGTATTTTCATGTTATTAAAAAAGGATTACTTGCCATTAATATTACCAAATGACATGCAGCACCATTGTATAAGTGTTAGATAAGAATGTTGTCTATCTACTTAGCTATAACAATGTGATGGCATTGTTTCAAACTCTCTAATTAAGGCAAGACTTTTATCATACCTTGCATGTGAACATTATATTTGAAACATCTATAGAGAAGGGTAGAAAAAAAAGATAAAAATAAAACTTTGTATATTTAGAAATTGCAAGTGTGTGAGGAAAAAAGTAATAGAGGATGCCACTTAGGCCCTTGCTTGAGATACTACCACATGGTTTTAAAAAATGTGATGTTATGATAATTATAAACAGTTTAGTAATTGGGTTGATAAATTCTTTATACTTACTTAAATTGTGGGGAAGAAATAGATTTCTTAATGGAAGATTTTATGGCAGTACAGAGGTGATAAAAATAATTTTAAAATTTAGCATGGTTTTTTTTGTATGGTAATGGGTGCATTAACAGCCCAAAAGTAAAATGGTATTTAATTATTCTGATCACTGATTGGTGCTGGCTGGTTCGCAAAAAAAAATTGTCATTAAAAGAAGATAGTAGCATTCGTTTATATCCTTTCTTATCGTTTCAGATATTGATGTAATTTTATTTGTTGATTCTTTCTAGGAGAACTCATCATATTTGACCTTAGAATGGGTTCTTGAGCTACTTGAAAAGGAGTTTGAAAAAGAGCCAGACAGTATGTTTATCATTGATTTTGTGCCAAACCTTCGCTACATGCTCCGATGCGACCAGTTTATTCTTGAAGACCCATCCTACGAAATGAACCAGTTCCAGAAGAAGGTAGATATTTTGAGCTCTGGTTTCTATGTTGATTTATATGTTGTGATAGCCCTTACAAAATTTACACTCGCTCCACACTATCAAATATTATATTGTGACCAAGATTTGCCTAAAGCAGGGGTGGGCATAAAAATTGGTCAGAGAGCCAAAGTGAATTTTTGATTTAACACACCCAAACTTTGATGTTTCCAATGTGCTTCCTAAAACCTTCGTGCACTGCTTTTATACCACTTTATTCTTAGTTTTAATATAACTTTTTGCAGATGATCGGTGTCGGGCCATAAAAAGCAATGTGTTTTTTTTCCAACTTGGCGAGCCTCACAGAGAAGGTTTTAATTCTTCTTCCTGGGCCACAAAAAAGTCACTGTCGGCCGCATGCTGCCCGTGGGCCATACTTTGCCCAAATGTGGCCAAAATTTAGTGTGATGACATCATGATCCATCACATAAAAATTAATAATGTGAATCCAAAGGGTTTTTTTTTGGTTTTTTTTTTCGGATTAAATACTTTGTGATATTGCTTGTATGTGATTGGCTTAAACACTTATTATTATTACTAGGACTATACTGTAGATTTGTTTTATCTGGTGATTTTCTTGAAAAGGAGGTTTGGCCAACCTTAGAACCTCCCTGGTTACGGGCCTGAACAATCAATGTTATTGTGCTATTTGCTGTTGTTGCTATTTTTTATCATAGAATTACCCCCTACATATTTATTTCACAAATTGTCGTTGACATTGTGATTGAGGTTCATGGTATAGTTTACAGTCCTTCGTTAATCAGGCGTTCATTGACATTGTTATCTGACGTTCATTGCACTGTTAGCTTTCGAAATTGATCTTTTGCTATTTAATTATTCATTTTTAAATAAACCAGAAATCAAATACATGAATGAATTATCAGATAGGTCATGTATAATTCCACCAAAATTTCTAATTAAAAATACCAGAAGGCGTTTAATAAAACAAACAACCATCTTTTAATCGTGAACCTGATCGTGGACTCGATGATGTAGTAGTAGCAGACATGTTTTGAGAACGAATGAATTAGCGTTTGTATTTAATGCATTTTGTTGTCCTCTGTACTTTTGTTTAAATTTTGATTTTTTTTTACAGAATTCAGATTGTATTTATTTGAAACCTGCAGGAAAATGATTAAGATATTAATATTGATGAAAGTGCTTACCAATTTACCAAAAAACATTATGGCCTCACTTTTTGAAATTGTGGCTGAATTTGATGCAATAGAATATGGCCTTAACTAGGCATTATATAGTATGCATACACAAATAATTTATATGGTAATCAAAATACTGAAATGGTTATACAAAATGAGTTGGTGTAGCCTTGATGTGGAACTAATTTCTGTACATATGCAAATTTTTCAACTCTGCCTATGTATACACAAGTTTGTGAAGACCTTTTTAATGTTAATTTGCAAAGCCAAGTGTATTATGTAGGTATAATATATGGTGACATTAATTTTGTAGATAATACAGCATTTACAGTAATGATATTTTGAAATACCATCTGGTAACTGTCTGAAATATTGATATCAGGTGGTGAATTGAAATACATTATATTAGAAAGGGAAACGTAGTTTACTAATTATAGAATTCTAATTATAAAATCATAGAGATAAATGTTAAAGATACACAGAGAGATAAAGCAGTTTAGTTTTGCTGATTTTCAGACATTTTAAGTGTTCCCAGCCTATTAGCTTAAACACAGATAATAGCATAGACGTAGGTATTTGGCATTGGCTGAATATTGGCCCACAATGGCAAAGGCGAGACTTTTTTTATACCTTGTTTAGAGAACCTGGCGACTGCAAATATTGATGATTTCAAATAAAAATAAAATTTTATTTTTGCCAATTAATATTTCCAAAAAAAAATTTTTTTTGTTTATTTTTATTACGCCCTCCGCTCCAAAGATAAAATATGTATATTTCTTCCTAATTTTATAAATTTGAATCATTTAACCATCCTATTTTACATTCACAATTAAAATTATATTTTTATTGTCTTCTCCGTCTGGATGATTTTGACAAAACTATTTGCTAAATAAGAAAACAAAATTTTATTTTTATTTTTATTCCTCCCTCCTCCAATAATCTTTAAAAAAATAAGTATGCGAAACAAGAAATAGAAAAAGTCTTGCCAAAGCAACAATGGAAGAAATTGAATTAAATTTGTTTTTAATGGTGTTCTTTTTACTGTCTTTTAACAAGCTTCAGTAAACCATAAAATAATAACACTCAATCAAATTCCTAGTGAATTACCATGATTTAACAAAAAGCTTTATTAGTTTACAGTGGGTATTATGTAAGCTATAAAAAATAATATTAGGTATGTCAACAAATAATTGGCTTAGTGCCAGCTGACTATAGAGTAAAGTTGAACATCTATCAATTTGTCTCGTTGGGGTTTGATGTAGAAACCAGAGATGAATTTACTATGTTGATGACCCACTAGCTACAGGGCTAAGTACTAGTTTATTATACATAGATATTATTAACAGTTCTCCATCTTTTCTACTGACTGCAATTCCATAATATAAACATCTTTGAGATTCCCAGGTTACAACTTGAAACATTGATATAAACAATATCAAATATAATATAAACATTTAGTGCTATACATAAGATAAATTGTATTAATTTTTATATTCAGATACTGTAATTTATTCAAATATTAATTTATTCCCCGAGGAATTTGTTCAAAGCGGTGCATTTATTCTGATAAAATAATAAAAACAAAACAATTACATTTATAGCAGCAACTAGAAGTAAAAGAGCTGTATTAGGATGTCAGGGAAAACAAAGTTATTCATTTGTACTGACATTACAAGAATAATAATATTAATAATATTAATTAAATTGGAAAAGGAGATATATATAACTCTATATAAATTTGATATTTTATTTATATGAACATGTTTTTTACGTTTTATTACACACTAGTTAATAATTAATGTTAATAGTTTTATTTATTATGGATGGAGTATTGCAGTGCAAAATTACATTACTTTTCCTTTAAGATTATCTTTAAGTAATTTTTCCTTGTTTTTATTATCACATTTTTTGTCTAGTATTCCAATATCTTTGCTTTGAACCTGGCAATTCCTGAGAAAGCTGTAATGAAACAGGCAACTGCTCATTGTGCCAAACATCCAAATCAGATGCAAGAAGGGGGTAAAAGTGATGAAGTTGATACTGGACGATTGGCTGTGAGTTGGAATTTGTTCTTTACATTATCAAGATCGTTCAATCAAATATGTCAGAACAGTTTAATTTATTCTGTTATTAGTTTGTTTATCATACAATTATTAAAAAATTGTTTTGTATGATCTTGGTTGGATTTGATTTATAAGTTTTGGTGCAAATATCTTCTTGCATTGTATTATGCAATTGGTTGTGGGAAAAACACATTCTGTTACAGAGCACAAAAGATATGATAATTAATAATAAATTAATGGTCGTTTATAATACCTGTATCTGCCATGACAATTTTAAAATAAATATATTGAATTAAAATAATTACTAGATTTTGTTTTCTTTTATGCAATTAGAAACGGCACGGTGTGTACATGAAAAGTGTGCAAGGGTTTTTAAACTATTTCCGTAACGATGGTCGCTTAGCATCGGTGGACGTATCCAGTGGGGTCTCTGATCTTATCTGGCATCAGGTGACAGACTTCTTTGGACATAAGTTAGAGTTTGTGCCAAGAAGAACAATTAACACTGTGGTTTTATTTGGCTTTTGTAAGTGTCATACAAAGATCTTATAAACACAAGATAGTGTTCTCCGCGATTTTACGCATAACAAATAGAAGCGTCGATTTGGCACAGAAAAGTAATCAGTTTTGGAAGAGGCCGCCATTCATGCGTTATTACAGAGTTTGCACGCGTAAATCACGGAGAACGCTATCATGTGTTTGTAAGATCTTTGGTCTCATACAATAATTAATTTATTTATTATTATTTAAATGCATAATGACTAAAATAATTGTATGAATCCATTATACCTTATAAATACCTATATTTATGATCTATTAATTTATTAAAATTGGCCGACAATAGTAATTTTAAAAAAATGAATCTGGAGAAGCTGTTGTGCAGAAACTGCCTCTGTCTAATCATCTATCAAGCTTCGTTTTACTGCTCTTTCTAGGATTGATGCTGATGGTTGTCCCTCGCTTATGATTTACCACAATCCCACTGTACCATGTAAAATGTTGTATATTTTTTTTTTTACTATGATTTTTTTATATGTAATCACCTGGTTAGAATCTGTAAATAAATTTAATGTTGATTTCTTTATTTTGCAGCTCCAAATGCCCACAGTGAGCTAGATTTGAACCGGTACAACATGGAGAAGGTCATCCTCAAAGATCTAACGGATAATCCAATGGGACCAGTGGTATGCCATTTGACATTTTTCAAGATAGATTGTAAAATATGTTGTTTGATTTGTTTAATGAAGGTGAAGGGAACCTGTAAGAGCATTGGGAATGATGACTACAAAATAGGCTGTCAAATTGGGGTGTGCATTTCATTTGGACTTAATTGCAATAACACTCCTACCCCACTATGCATACTGTTCATTTAATCGTTAATTTTTTTTTTAGGTAGAAGTTCTGAAAGCACTTTGCACCCACATTGATAATTCATCAGCTACAGCTGAGTCCTTCCTTGTTGATGTCTCAGAAACATCGCTCACTAAAGACGAGCTAAAGGTAGATTGGTATTTTAGTTGTATTATTTTTAATAAATCATCCTTATCACCCCTTTGATATAATGGATCCTTCCTGTTATTTTATATCTTTGCCATTGTTCATTGTTTACTATTCATTGTTTATAGTTTTCCAAAATATATTGTATTGTTTATAAAATGACAAATGAGATGCAAAGATGTTTTGATAATTAAGTTAATAAATATGGTCATATGTTATTTCATTAATTATTTTATTGAAGTTTACCATCACAAAGGTTATAAGTGACCTTTGTTGCATGTGAAAACAGTGTATTAAAAAGGTAGGTAGGTCAGTCATCCCAATGCACAGTTAACATGAATGATGATTACAAGACACAATGAAAATCACTTTACTACACCAAAGGATCTCCAAGAGTGCTAGGCATTAGGCAGTTGGGGTGCTGGGAATGGAGGGTGGGTTTAACCCTGTATTGTCATTCAATAAAAGTAGAAGAAAACCTTTCAAAACCTCTCAGAGCGGCATAGAATAGGCCAAAATTGCCTGTTTTATTCTAGGCACCAGGGGCTTATTCCCTTGGAGCCATACATATACCCCTTGAACACACCAGGGCTTTTTCCCTAGAATGCTCTAGTCTTCATTCAAAATTGTGAGATCCTTGTTCGACAGTTTAGCTAGCCCATCCTCTCCCTTAATGTGTGTGCAAGGACCACCACTGAGCACTAACTCTCCATGCTGCATACATGCTTCCAATTGCTGTATTTTTTTATGCATTATCATAATTATAATTATAATGTATTGTATTTCTCTCCTCATTTCAGTATGATCATAAAGTAATAAACTTTATACAGGATGAAAACGCAATGCTAGATCGGTTCATCTTCGTCACTTCAAATTCTCAGAACAACAAGAAGTCGCGGAAGTGTAGTGCCTACATGGAGAATTTCAAGGCTGCATGTTCTACTGAGAATGAGGTGTGTCTGTTCCCTATGGATATGGACACAAATATCTGCAAAGGAATTGCTTTCTGCATGGCGGAGCTGAGAGATTTAAAGGAGTAGATCGTGAACCAGAAATGTCCTGGTTCACCACTTTTAACTTATGCATTTTATGAAGGTTTGATGAGAATGTTACAGAAATTTATAGACCAATGGCTTCTATGTAATCAAAGCCTTGATAAATTGGTTCTTTATCGTACTTATCAATACACCTTTTTTTTCATCTATTTTTTCTTAAATTCTTCCAGAGTTATAATTAATTAAAAAGTTTAGTGTTCTTGTGTATATCAGCCTTATAATAAACCACTGGGTTTGATGTTTATCAGAATAGAATGTTGGTAGGTGTAAATTGTTGTGATAAGTTTAATGGTTTCTAGTCGAAAAGGCAATAAACAAAATCAGCAGTAACCAAAATAGTAATAGTAAACGACCAACGCTATGTTTGAAAACAGCAATGCTTGGGGGAGTCATTGCAAGCATGGTTACCACAAACTAAAAATTACTGTAATTGTTAGAAACCTTGAATGTAATGTTACATACAGTATTATTTTTAATCTTAAACATTTAATAAGTGTCTTTTTTTTAAATCAACATTGTATGTCATAAGATATGTAATAAATATTTAAGAACTGTCCTTTTCATCAATTTAGGACAATCAATTTTAAATAATCTTGACGAGAAAAAATTGATTTAATGCTAAGTTGAGTAAAATAACACCTATGCAACAAACATATAAATAATTCATACAACAATTGTAAAGTTGTTTTTTAGCATTGTTGTTTACTTAGAAAAGTGTTTCTATTTTCTGTGTGAACCACATCTAGGGTAATTCACTAAACGTCTTGCTATGGTGTCCTGGTAATGATTTTTACAAAATTTCCAGCTCTTTTCAGAAGAGTGTAGTGTGTTCCTCAATGTGCAGACACAACCAATGGCTTAAATATTTCATCCAGAAGATGGTGGGGTATGGAGATTAAAAATAAAATTAAACCATGCACCAGAGATCTGAAAGGATCTTGATGGTTTAGTGCACACACATTGACTTCCACCACTTTAACTGGAATGGATTCTGATAAGCTAAAGCTGCTGTTTTAGTTGATTGTGTTTTGGTTATTGCTGCTTTGATTTACTGCCCTTTCGACCAGCTTCCTCTTTTAATAAGTCAATTCTATATACTTGTATCGGTTAATTATCACCGATGGTAGTATGCAGAGTAGGTAATGGCCTTTGCCTCAAATATAACAACTTTCTATACAGTTAGAAAACTCAGTATACTGGTTAACCATGGATTCCATAGTGTGTACATAGATAGTAAGGGTCTTCATCTCCAATATGACAACTCTAGGTGTATTAACGCAAAAATGTGCTATGTACAGTATATAGCACATTATTATATATATTTGTGGAGTAATTGAAATTGACATTATTCGGCTAGATTTTCTGGTTTATGAATGAATACAACTTAAACTTAATCATTCAATTGTAGTAATAGTTTATCATACATATAGTGCCTCTAAATGTTAAGATAAATAGACATGATCGCTGCCAGGACCAGACAGGGTTTGCTCAGATGCCAAGACGCAAGTCCACATCCATCCATTACAGTTGTATGTAATTTACTGAAGTAATTTATGGTTGTGCCCTTTATGCATTGGCATAATGGGTAACAACTTGGAAAGAAAAGGCTTGGCAGTCAGTGTGTTAAAGTTTGAATAGTACTCTCCTACATTACATTCAGTGATTTTTTACTACACATTTAAATGTGTTCATCATCTTGTTAGATTTCAACTCCAGTCCATCTTTAATGTTTTTTTAATTGGAAAAAGAAGACTGAATTTAGATAAGTTTTTGTCATTACTCAGGTTCCTTCTTGTAGGTGCAATATATTGTTTATATTTTTTTATGAAACCATTACAATCCAACTCATATAGTAATCTAAACCCACCAAATACATGTAGCCTATGAACAAAACAATATATCCCACCTGAATTTGTTTACCGTAAATGATCATCTAAGAGCCACAGCATTTATAACATTCTGCTAAGCTTCAGTACAGCGCTGATTAGAGAGGTGCTTATTTGAGAGCAGGGCGTATTACAAATTATTGGAGTACTATAGTCTTATCTTGTTAAAATATTTGTGATAAATATGTTATAAATTGGGCGTGTTTCTGCTAAGTAACACCAAAAACACGTTTTTTTTAAACGGTTAAATTCCTTCGGAATGCATTTCTAGTAAAAAAGTGCAACTAATAAAAACATGGTAACGCGAGCATTGGCAAGTGGCCGGAGCTTATAATGACGATCACTAACGGAAGTTGAAGTTGACCTTACTTCCTGCGGGCTGCGCATGCCATGAAAGAAGTAAACAACACACCTCGAAAGTATGAACAAATTATGGTAAAGCCTGAAGCATGTCATCCTGTCGGTTTAATTTTGTTCTTCGCCCTGAATTTTCCACGGACAAGCGATCAAACCAACGAAGAGGTCAGTCTGGTTCACCGACGAGTCGTGACTAACACGGCATTGCATTCTGAACACCAACCCTATAATGAATGCATGTTAAAACACGTGTTTTTAGAACGCATTCCTAACCGTGTTTTTGTTTTTTTGGCCCGTTTCTGCTGGGAAGAAAACACGTTTTTTAATAACCATTTAAAAACATGTTTTTTTGCTCAGCAGAAACGGGCCCAAAGAATATAGAATCGCATAAGGTCGGACTCTCCTGATTTTGTATACACGTATTGAAACGTTAAAAAAGTACTACCACGAGATGGGGGCGCCCTATTTCTGAATGCCTTTTACGTATTTTTACTCTTGGTACTCTTTGGTAATATACACTCTTGGTTAAGCATGGAGACATTAAAAAGAAGTTATATCTCTAACAAACCTTAATGTAGTGTTGTTTGAAGGTTTAAAAAAAATCCGTAACATAACCGAAAAAAAATAATCAAGCTTAGATCGGCTCTTATTTGAAAGAGGTGCTTATTCGGTCATTTGCAGTAAATGTACAGATTTTTTTTGTGAAAATTTGGTGTAAAGTTTAGGGTAATGTTCTGCATTTCAAATTTCCAATTGGCAGAAGACTTACTAATAGACTGACAAACTTATTGTTGCAATATTTCAATTTTTTTTTTTTTTTTTTAAAGTATTCTAGTCTGTTAAATCATTTATTTTTCTGTATAATACTGTAGATAAAAACCTAGATTTTTATTCTATTTATTTTTCTGAGCTTTTAAGGTGATTAATTTGTGCCTTTTAATGATTTAGAATTGTATCTGATTTTTTTGGGTTTGATAGCATATTGCAAATTAAAATTCCTTGTTACGTTAGACCAAGTAAAAAAAAAGTAGTTTCTCGTCCTAATATTCGGAAAAATGGAGAATGAGGGCACTTTTTCTCTTTCTTTTTTTACTCCGCGGTGGCAAATCCAAGATGGTCGATGGGAAACAGCTTCTACTTTCTCACTTTTACCAAGTAGACACATTGAAAGCAAATAAAAGAAGCACTAGACATGATTCATACCATATGTATCCCAAACCATGAACGGTCAGAGAGGAATTTTACTGGTGTGAGTTGACTATATTTTCGTACATTCCATAAAATGGGCCTAAAGGAAATTTTTGAAAATAAATAAATAAATAAATTAAAATTGGTGTAAGGCAGAAAAAATAGATGCATGAGGGGAAGAGAAACTAGTGATGTTTTTTTTTATTTGGCCTAATTTATGTATGTGTACATTTTCCATTTTAAATATTTTTGAAGAGTGTTGGAATTTTAGAGTTTTGTTTGTTAGATTCAGATAGGTTGGTGTTAGCAGCTCATGTTCAGTATTATAATCTCATTCATTGGATAATCATCTAATTCTCAAATATGTTAAGCATTAAGCATGCAATATTACATTACATGTTAATATGAATACTTTAATTTAGGTGTGGTCCAATCATAGTGAAGGTGTTATTGGTCATATGGTGTGTTATTCTCATGTCTATATATTTTCCTACATATATATTTCAGTTTCTGGTTTTTTATAAATAATTTGTACTTTATTTTCTAGTTGAAGTATTTTGAGGTCTTACAGTGTATACTCATTACTGTAGATAATAAAAATAATAATAATATATTATGAGGTTGACGAAATAGAAATTTGACAGTACTTTAACTGTTAGCTGTTTAACACCTTTACAACATTTATCAAATAATCGCTTACAGACTCCACTAGAAAAATATTGTATGTTTCAAAAATGTATTCCTTGAAATATTATTATGATATTGCCATAGTGATGATGATGTCATCAAATGATGCAATAATGATTGGCAGTTGCTTTGCATATGCAGCACAATTAAGGTTTAAGGTGGATTGTATTTGTGGCACGAGGACGGTTGTGAACTAATAGGTTGATATGATTGGATACACTGAAGATGGAGGATGCAAGTCAGAAACATCTCGAGAGTATGAGAGCATCAAGTTATTATTACAGTACTTGACTGCTAACTGCAATGCACTCGTTGCTCCTTAATTTCATTATTATTTATGCAGATAAATAATAACAAAGTAATAAAGTAGATGAATAATTATGGTGTAACCATAGTTATTTAAAATGCTTTCCCTTTCCAGACGTGTCAAAAACATTTTTTTTTTCTACATCTAAATCTTTGGGCCTTAAAGGGCTCAGAACAGTTAAAAATGTTTTTTCTTAGCCCTGAACCCCCACCAGAAATTTACCCCAGACCCCCTGTCGGATAGCTTAATTCCCACCGAAATATCATAGAGCCCACCACTGATTCCATTGCTTTCAATGCTCCAAAACTAAAGCTTTACCTTAGAAGCCAACTCATCTAAATGTTCTAAGAGTCAAAATTGTGGATGGCACAAAATTTATTGGCTTTTCAATTAAAGTAAATATGCGAATACATGTGACGCTGCCCCAGACAATCCTAATGTCGTTCCATAAGCATGCAGGTATTTAGGAAGCTAAAAATATCTGCAAATTCTCATTGTTGGCATCTTACCTACTTTGTAGTCTAGTATTTTTCATAACTTTATGGAAGGTAAGATATATGTTACCTGAAATAGTTCACAACATAAATTTATTATGGGCATCAAGCAGTGTAAGGTTATGGTGCTAAACATATTTTGACTTGTTTGTTTATCCTGATGAATTCAATTCACAACACATTAATTGGTTAAAGCTCGATCTTCCCATACTATCAAGTTCTTTGTGACAATTATCTATGATTTGCCCAAATATGGACATGATGATGTCATATCCAGTGGCATATTCAAGGAGACTTTCCCCCCCCCCAATTTTTAAAATTTTTAACAAATTGGGGAAAAAATTGCTTACAAATTATAAAGTCTAAGATCGCCATTTCAGGCTATCTGGAGGTGCCATATAATTTTGTACCTCGGCCCCAACCATAGTGGGATTGAAATGGACTGGGCCTTTTTTAGTGCAAATGTCCCTGCCCCTCCCCCTTCTATTTTAAATTCCTTGGTCTGCCACTGATATCACACCCATATTTGGGCAAATCAGAGATATTTGTAATTTAAAACTAGGTAGTGTGAACAAGGATATTTGTGGGGACATCATTAATGCAGCAGTAACCTAATCCTAGCTTTGTCAGTAATAATTCATTCAATATTTGGAGTGTTCAGGCAACATGCTATATGTCTAGGCTGATACAGTATATGACCTGTCATTCACCACCTGAAATTGGCTAGAGAAAGCTGGACATGACTAGATTGAATGAAATTAATGACCAGGAGTTGATACTGTCATGCATTGTATATCAATATGGTGTCTAGAATGCAAACATTATTGCAGCCTGTTATGGCACGAATGAGAGAAAAAGGATGCCGCCTATGCATTATGCTTTGTTACTCTTCATTTTTTGCATGGCATGATAGAACACACAATCTATTTGTATTTTATTAATTACTTCTGTATCCTTGGGGCCTTGATAAGCCACAGTGTTGTTCTCCAGGGCCTAACATAAAATTCTGACAAAAGATACTATCGCCTTTATGGTTCACAATCGTTGATATGGGATTTATTAACTTCTTATTTCAAACCTCCCTCCTTACCTCAATTTAGCATTTTGTCCACATACAGTATTTAGAATTACAGATTGAGCATTTTCTCATGTTTTTGAATTGTTACTTGTTCAAGAGTACTTTTTAAAAGTAATAAAAATTTACTGAAATAATATTGTGTATGGAAGAATATCGTAGTATGCAGTTGTTTTATGTGTTACTTTTGTCTATACTGTACAGTACATAGATATGCGATCTGTGGTGTAATGTGTAACAGAGCTCAAATATATTTAACATTTTGGTAGTAACATAAATTGACCTGGATTTGTATGGCAATTTGACAGATCCAATACATTGCCAGTATCCATGTTATATGATACAGTATTTCACATATGACACACAAAATGTTAACTATCTTCACAACAATCGATATTAGTTTATGGAGCTTGAAAATGACATGTTTAATCAATTATTTAGTAAATTCACACATTCTTCGGTTACAGTAGAGTTATTTTAAGAAAAATCCAGGCTGCTAACTAGGTGAGATGGAAATGAGCTCTTAAAATGTCTGCATGCAAGAATTTCTTGATTGGGTAGGGCAGCATCATTATGTATCCAGTAGCAGATTTATACACCGCCGATGTGTTATAGTTGCAGCTTAAATGAAATGACTGAAACACAACTACTTTACTTCATTATTTATTGATATCAAACATGTTTGTAAGATGACAAATATGAATATGATAAAAGCATGATCTAACAGTACCATTTCTGGCCACCAAGCAGGGGCATAAGGTGGTTTCAGTTCCCCCACCCCCTCACAGTCTACACCCATACCTAAGTGTGTTCATTCAAATTGTACACACCTGTCTAATCCACTGTGGGGCTGAGGTGGGTAATACTGCATAACTTTTACCTTGTCTCATCAACAATTAACAGAGGCTCTTTAATAATTATTACTATTAAGCTATATTCACATTAGACACGATTACGACACGACGACATATCACATAGTTTGTATTCTTCAACACTGCGCGCATCTCTATTGTGTCATAATCGTGTCTAGTGTAAATGTAGCTTTAAATGGGAAAAGGTGCCTATCATTGCAGTTTTATGAGTTCTAGAAGTTCTCAATTCAATTGTTATTCAGTGTATTTCATTTGCATTCAGTTGCTGGCCCACACAGGTGTGTTGTTGTTCTTTGTTTTAATCAGTTGCAGTTCAGTTGTACATGTGAGTAGGCTGCTTTTAAAATCCACCATTATTTTGTTACCAGCTTCCCAGTTTACAAGTATATTTATTGAGAATTATTTTACTTTAGACTTTATCTGCCGTAATTTGGATCATTACAAGAATTAAAGGCAAGTACTGTACCTTATTTTCTTTACTTGTACATTTCTGATGCGAGCTGTTTCATATTGTTATCTAAGGCGAGTTGTTTTTTATATCTTGTTTCACAAATCCACCGATAATGATTTTGAATAAAAGTTAAATGTTATTTTGAGCCAGTTAGCATAACAGCCACCATAAACAAAACTAAAATTTTATTTTGTTTATTTTTATTGCGTCCACTGCCTCCTTGAAATATCAACAAATAAAATATACATTTTTTATTTATCCAATTACTACACTCTTTACATTCATCAATAAAATTGAATTTTTATTTTCTCCTCCATCTAGATGCTTTGTGCAAAACCATTTTGCTAAATAAGAAAACATTTTATTATATTTTTCCCCCTCCTCTGACAGTAAGAAAAACTAAGGTCGCTAAACAATGTAAAAAACAGTCTCGCCTAATGGAGAAACTCTCTTATGGTACAATTATAACAGTCATCGTGCCAAAAAAGGGTTTTACATTAATAGCAGGGGTCACAAGTTGGGAAAAGCCATTTCAGGTAGATCTGGTTTAATGAGTTTTAATGGACAACATCTTTATTGCATAGTTACGAGCATGTGCAGGATTGGAAAATGTGCGCGACTGGCAGTCGGAGGCATCATGAATGTCCTGGAGGAATTTTGTGAGGAAAAAATTCAAAAAAATAAATTGTTGGGCTATAGTGTAAAGATAACATTTGATGCTGGAGGAATTTTATCGAGACAATTTTCTTGGTCGGAGGCACAAACATTTTTTTTCCAGGCCTGGGCATGTGTATCCCCCAATGGTCTGCTAATTTTATGGAAACAATTTAAAATACAGCACTGTAGTAAAAACATGCAAACATGAATTGCAGAACATTGGTTAGATTTTAGAAGGGCGATTTGCTTGCTCGCAGGAGTGCGAGACACTGTGCTCATTTCTGGGAAACTCCCGTGACTCGTGGGAGCCTTCGGACTCTCCTCATCATTTTATCAAATTCTAATGTGACAAATACCCAGCTGCCTGGTGGTGTAACTAATAGACAAATAATTGCGTTATGTTTCATGATGGTCTCTGAATACTTTCTCAATCGTATTTCGTAACGTATCCATATCGTCTTGATAGCAAAGTTTTGAAATTAAGTCATCTAGGAGTTCACCACCACCAAGGAATCCTTCAACGTCAAAAGTATTCATTGATATTCTATGATCAGTTACACGGTCTTGGTTGAAATTGTACGTACGTATCTTCTCTGACCGCCCTGATGTCCCAACCTGTTGGCTCCGTAACATTCTCTCCTGTGAGTTCTGTTCTTCCAATTGCTTTTTGTAGATACGTGCGTGGAGCATTGTCATAGCTATGTGGCGGTTCTTGTGCTGCGACCTCTCTTGCTGGCTTTCTGCAGAAATTCCTATCAATGTAAAACAATTTTTGGTGAATTTCAAAGATACTGAACAATCACAGGTTCAGGGTTGAAAATATAGGCTTTGATTCATTTTGTTAAGCATATTGACCATAGAAAGCCACCTCTCCCTATATATTTGGTATTTAAATATAGTTCCTTAAGTCAGTGCAAATTGATGACCATTGCAGGAAGGATTTGATATGGAAAATGATATGTATTACTGTGTAAATTGCTGGGAGTAGATTCAATTCAAACTTCCAATTTTATTTTTGGATGAACAAAAGATTGAAACTAAGAAGATATACAAGTAGACCTAGTAAATTACAAAAAGGTGTTGGAAACTAGGCCATACTCATTACCTCAGTCATTAAAATGCACAACATAAACACACATGCGAACATAGACAGATCATGAGGCAGCTAGTGATGCTCAACAGAAAGTATTATTATATCATTACTCATTACATTGTATGTCGAAGGTTAGGTGGTGTACCTGTTGGAATGTGTAGAATTCTAACAGCACTATCAGTAGTATTAACATGCTGCCCTCCTGCGCCACTCGCCTTCTTGGTTTCAATCCGAAGATCTTTTGGATCAAGCTGAAGATCAATCTGTAATTAAAAATACATATTTATATACTGTACTATCAATATATAATATATAAAATTATATATTGAATGTGTGGCAAAGAAAAGTCAAACCAGTCACTCATTGCAAATCGTGTTTCAGAGATAATGGCTAAAACATGCTGAAATATCAACATTTTTAAAAATCTATTTCATTGGACTAAACTAACCTTTATATATCTATACATCATGGTATGCTGTTATTTTCCCCATTTTCAATGTTAAAACAACAACTTTTTTAAATTTGTTGATGGTTTCTGCCTGAGAAATGCCCAAAACCATGAACTTTGAAGGTTGATTTCTCAGATATTGTTTTTTAAACGCTTGTAACTTCATAAGGAAATATCGGATTTAAATGTTTTTTTTACTATTTTATAGCACTCATTTACATCTTTAACCCTGTATTAATAACTAAAAATTGATTTTTGCAACGAGTGACTGGTTTGACCTGTCTTTGCCACATATATGGAACTGAATTAACCCTTTCATTGATAAAATGCAATGTTGAATTCTTCAATTGAAAGTTGTTTTGAGCATCCATAAGTTTTTGACAAACCTCTTTAGGCTGTGGTAACACTGCTACGGTCATTGTACTTGTGTGCACCCGTCCAGCTTTTTCCGTTTTTGGGATACGCTGCACACGATGAACACCGCCCTCATACTTCATAAGTTTGTACACATCTGGGCCTTGCATGCTCATAGTGGCATGCCTCACACCACCTAATGTGTAAAAAGTAAATCAATTGAAAATGTTAATAATTGTTGAAAATATACAGATTGAGCTACAGCTTGATTCCCAGAGAAGGGAAAGTTGGGGAGGGACAGCCAGTTTAGGCCACCTCCCCCTCTAAATTTTTGAAAATCAAAATTTAAAAAACTTGGGGCAAAAGAAAATTAAGACACAATTTTCGTACCTCAGCCACAACCGAGGCGGGGCTAAGGTAGTCTGGACCCTCCTCTTTAAAATGTCGATCTGGAGACCTCCTCTACATCCTGGTTCTGCAACTGACCTCATCAACTGGACTGAACTTACCAATCACAAATTTAAATAAAATCCACAATATCTACCATGATTGGACAATATTAACAAATAACAATATAACTATGGGGAGGAGGGTTGTTCTTTGCGAGGACATGCACCCCCGCACCTGTAGATACGCCACTGTGCCCCCCTGCACCCACTGTTCCCCAGTGTAATGGTCCCACCCAGCCCTTGTTGACAGACCATAAAGCAGCAGCAACTAAGAAATTAAGTGGTCCTTAGGGAAAAAGAATGTTAATTGGACCAGTTCAGCCAAGTGAAACTCAATACCTTTCCTGATGATGTCAATTTTAATTACCAATTTTATTGTGTTTAATTATGTTTTGACAGCTTACCCAAATCGCTTGTGTTGTACACCAACTCTGTGAACTTCCACCTTTTGTATTTTGCATAGTTCTGGTACATATCAAATATATCGGTTGTGAACAGCATGGCTTCTTGTCCTCCAACACCTGCTGTCAGCTCAACAACGACATCATTGTCATCGATTTCAGTAGTTGGTTTCAAGATAGACAGTAGCTATGATTCACAGATGAAAAAAAAAGAGAAAAATTTAAAGATATTATCTGATAAAAGTAGTTGGGAGTGTGTTAGTCTAAACAATAATAACAAGAGCGACCGCTCACTGGCCTACGCATTCCTCCACGCTTAAATACGGTACAAGTTATTATATTGGGTTATTTAGAAGAGCTAATTAGATATACATTTTTGAATAATTAGAATGTTTATTTGTACAAAACAAATTATTTAGAATGTTCATTTGTACAAAATTATATTATCTTAATAAACTGAAAAAAATAAAATTGAATACCAAGACGCGATTCAAATTCACAACCTTAAGTTCTTTAGGACACATCCTTAACCAACCGTGCCATCCATGTGACGTGCCCTATTAGTGGTAATGGCAGTAACGTACAGTCCTTGCTGAAACCCCTGTTTTGTTTTGTAGGTGTAGGGGGAACCCTGGGGTCCAACTTAAAAAAACGATGATGAACATTTGTTGGAAATCACCTCTAGTTAATGTGTACAAAATTTCCTGCACGTCCGTTCAAAACTGGCGACACTGGACGCTTTGAAAGTTTTGGTAACAAGGACAAGAACAGCAGTAAGGCTCTGGGGTCTGCGTCTTGCGCGGACCTAACAAATATATAGAGGTAGCACTCTCAGAGTTGTTACTTATTCAGCATGAGCTATTTGGGACTTCATGCAAAGTTCAGGTACGAACCCTGGGGTCCAACTTAAAAAAACGGCGATGAACGTTTGTTGGAAATCACCTAGTTTATGTGTACAAAATTTCCTGCACGTCCGTTCAAAACTGGCGACGCTTGACACTTTGAAAGTTTTGGTAACAAGAACAAGAACAGCAGCAAGGCTCTGGGGTCTGCGCCTTGGGCGGACCTAACAAACATATAGAGGCAGCACTCTGAGAGTTGTTACTTATTCAGCATGAGCTAGTTGGGACTTCATGCCAAGTTCAGGTGTGAGTACTATCTTTGATAAATACCAAGAGCAAAAATACAGTTAAACTTGCCTAAGTTGATTTTGCCCAACATTTTCACAAGTATACAAACAGTACACTAGTGGGGAGGGGGTAGACAAATTTTTACACTCTTACTGTATATACGCATAAAAATTCTGATTCAAAATAACATGCAATATGTAAAATAATGGTAAAATTATAATGTAACCGTGGATATAATATTAATTTTTAAGCAACCAAGTACAAAAAAATTAAGAATCGTTTTGCAAAATCAACACTTTCAGAGGGGAAGGAGGGGGTACCGAAAAAGAGTAGTTTGTACACTTGTGGAAACGTTAATAATTGTGAATGACACCTAACTCAATTAATTTCTAAGTCAATCTTATTTTACATGACAAATTGTTGTGTTTCCCATTAATTAACGATTCAAATTTTAACTAAGTCAAGCAATTTTTCAATGCTATTTTGGATTCAACTTCTTGAAATTAATGACATGATCCATAATTAAATTTGTAACGTTAAAACACTTTGTAACACTAGGTACACGCCCTTGTAAATTTGCCAGGACCCTTGTAAATGTATAGATCTGATACTTAGTAATCAAATACAAACCTCATCTTCTAATAGTTCTAAGGCATCCAGACACTTCTCTTTTTCTAGTTCTGCTAAGCGTTTCATTTCAGCATCATTATCTGAAACAAAAAAGGCACCAGATTATAAATTAGGGTACGTGTTTGTCAGAAAAAACATTGTCATTGTCATTTATCATTACTTATTATTATTAATATTATTATTATTATTATTATTAATATAAAATTTATCATCATTATTATTGTTAGTGCCTATTTTGCCTTTTCCGTTAGCACTGAAGCACCCTGTATAATAGGTAAAGAATCTTAAGAAAATACTTACATTTCATCACATTCCGATATGGTAGTACGTTTAGGAAACCTCGCACTTTGATGTTTGGTATATAATCTTGTGTGCAGTTACAGGTTTCAAATTTATATTTGAAAGTGCATTGTTGTAATTATTTTATTATAATGTAACCCATTGTTTTGAATATAGAATTTAGTTAGGCGTGTTGAATTTGTGAGGAAACACAATTTAATAACCACATTCATTTTACTTTGACCTCACTATTATATTATTGCAATACATGATTTATTTGACGAGTTATTTGACAGTACACAGAACGGATTAGTTGGTGTTATGTGCGTATATCAAACACCATTCTAAACCTGCAAAATGAGCACGAAGAGGAGTTAAATGATTTGCAGTCAGCTGATCATGATACGTCAGTTTGGCGCAGCGGTTGAGGCTTGGGCTTTCAATCGTAAGGTCGGGGTTTTGAGTCTCCGCTGTGCAGATTCGCTTGTGTACTTGGGCAAGGCACTTTAGCTACATTGCTTCAGTCCACCCAGCTGTAATAATGGGTACCAGCAAACTGCTGGGACTAACCTGCGACGGACTAGTGTCCCGTCCAGGGGGAGTACAACTCTCATCCGCTTTACACTACAGAAACTGGGGATAAGCTTCAACCCTATGAGCCCCAGTGGCTCGGAAAGGATTTAGTTAGTAGTAGTAGTACATCATGATACAGTTTTAGGCCCCTACAATTATTATTATATTATTATTATTATCTACCTGAAAGATTTGACTTCACCTTTAAGCAATAATTTAACTTCATTTAATTCTTCTTTCTTCTCATGTATTTCATTAATCTTTTCAACTACTGGTCCCAATTCTTGTCTCCTCTTCACAATCTTCTTCTGTTGCATATCATCACCAATACCCAAACCCAACCTAGATGAGATTTCGTCAAACTCTTGTAATAATTCTTCTAAATAAAACTGGAACTGGTGACTCGATGGGGAAAGTGGATCTTCTTCTGACGTGGCATGCGATGAGCTTAAGTGTCTTACAATGCAATGTTTACGTGTCAGATGGTTTAGTAAAGGTCTACTACTCGTCCACAGCATGGCAGGAAAAGTTGCACAAAATTGGTTGCTAGCCTGCTGTGTGACATGTACACTACAAGCTGGTAATTTAACACTAGGCCTACAAGTAAATGGAAATTGTGGCTTTGAACATTCAGTATCTTGTATCAGCATTTCAAGATGAAACTTTCTAGTAGTATGATGACAGTATTTTGTGAGTATGTTTCTGCTATGGGAGTTACAAATAGATGCAAGTGCTGATGACTTGGAATTTTGGCATAACTGGTGCAAAACACAACATTTCAGCATCGTCCCCAAGCAGCTATACATGGTATTCAATATGTTCACTTGATTTACTCCTCAAAGTATGGAATGAAGGTTTTCTTCAATCTCTCTCTGATCTGAAATGACATTTGGTGAATGAATAATTATGTTAATCTGGTTTAAGTTAACAGTATAAATATACAATTATGATAATATACATCCACATGAATATAATAAGGATGGATTGGCAACAGCTAGGGACACTCACCATATACCGAGATAGCGTATGGATAGCGTATGGATGGTACCATATTCCTAGCCACTGTCTAAAACTTATAATAAAATATTTAATAAAATGTGATTTTAGACATAGGCCCCTAGTAGGCCTATATAAGTATATAATATTGCCTCCAGATCATTATTGAGGTAATAATAATCATTATGATCATGTATTTGATATGTCATCCACTTTTTCCTACCATCATAAGATCAACGTAGCCTGGACACACTGCTTCTGACCACGAGGTATTTGACGAGGCCTCGTTGGAATATACACCCATAGTTTGATGAGCAGATCGTACCGTGTAAAAATAATGACTGCGGCCGAGCCGATCCCCCTGCAGTACCAGGTCTGACTCTAGGCTAGGCCTAGCTTGCTAGGCCTGGTCAAGCTTTAATTTTAATATAACTACGGGCTTAAACTAGATAGTCGAATATCGTTATCATATTATTGTAAAATATCATACTCTACATACTTTATTGTACTTCAGGTTTGTACAAATACAAGCAAACTTGTCCTAGGCCTAGTTATACCCCCAGTTATGCCTCAGCTTGTGAACACCACGAAGCGGACACGATCGATCGCGGTCGACATTCGTCCAAAATTGAAGGAACAGTGCAAAATAAGATAATTGCGGTCTCCCACGATCTGAAAAGTAATTACCGATACGTGCTGTATCGATTTGTAATAATAAGGGAAAGATATCAATAACCTAAACACAGGCATAGGCCTATGCGTGTATTACTTCATGATATTTGCAGTTGTAAAAAGTCAATGGAATCTTTTAGATGTAAAAGGCCTACAGAGAATTCTAGCTAGGTGAAGTGTAATAAATGATACAAATATTATTAGGCTAGCTATTTCATATTAAAAAGTTCGAAAAGTAGGCCAACATCATACAGTTTCTTCATCGAAAGAAGGCAAATGCTGAGCACATTCCATCTACTGCCTTCTGTGGTTTAAAAAATATCATGAAATTACTACCGTATTAATATTTATCAGGTCTATTATATTGCCTAGTTCAACTTTACTCCTCAGAAATCAGAAGGATACACATTATGCTTCATAGAGTTTCTGCGCCCGACGACGCGCAAAAAAATACTGTATCATATTTTGCGACTTAAAACATAGGCCTAAATTAATTTAGAATTATATTTTATTATTTAATTTAACAGCTAATTCGATCAGTGAGTCGGAGTTTCTGTATTTAAAAGGTAACTTTTTGTTTGTTGTAAAAGTGTGCTATATGTGCCTATATTTGTCGCTTGTGTATAACAAAAGGAAGGGAATTTCCGATTTGTTATTGATAATAGGCCTAGGCCTATTTAGTGAAACTCTCAAGGACAACTGACATTCATGTTTTGATTTCCCCGACCGGGGGGGGGGGCTGAATCCCCCTACGAGAGTTCATGGGCATGGTCAATGGGCGTGGTCAGACGTCGCTCAAAATCTTTCGAAAGTGGCAGAGGGGGGGGGGGGCGAACCCCCTCCCCAAAAGGGATGACCGTTTCAAAAGCTTGCAGTATTCAATCGACTTTCTAAAACCTACTATTACATCTGTAGGCCTACTACTATTTTTTTTCCTCCGACGAATTGAATTGACTCCCGTAGGCATATCGCCGCCATGGGGAGGGAGGAGGTGTGGTGGTTACCTCTAGTCCAATTTCAGTGACCTATAATAAACAAAATTATAATAAAATACCACTACAGTAGTCTAAACTGGTCAAGGGTGTTCGGCAAAACCCCCTAAAGCCGCCTGTATTGTTGAGCGTGTTACTATATTATTGTAAAGTAATAGGCCTACTTATATTGCACATTTCATTTTATTTTACACAAAAAAAGATGTTAGGTAGGTTCTATATAAACTTTAAACAGTAGGCCTACACATTTGCCAAATGACGTAATGTTACATTTACATTGCATTGAAAAGAACAGAAAATAATCAAAATAGCGTATATACATGCGTACGAGATGTATTTTCTCAATTTTGTAGGCCTTATTTATTCATTTCAGCAATACAGAAAAAAAAAACTAATTTTAAAAAAGGGAACACAACAGAACATATTAAAAAAAATTACGAAATTTATAACAACAGATCACATAATCATCATCACTGCCATCCTCAAGTTGTGTGTTTGTGGTTTAAAATAGGCCTATAAATAATAAACGCAAATGTCGAGCAGATAAAAAATCATTTAACTTAATCCTTACAAACGTTTACTCAACTTTGTAGCTCTCAGACTGATATCAAGTGTACTGGTATACTTTTTATCACAAAGTCGGGAGTGGGTTGTAGGGCCAGAGCAGGGAGAAATCTCCCTGGCAGGGTGTGTCGTCAAACATGAGGTAGGACCTCCAGAGCCTTTAAGCTAGGGTTCAATGTAATTTTTATAACCTTTAGGAGAACTAAAGGTACGGTAATTAATTGAGAAGTATCCTGCTTGTTTTCCTTGAATGGTAGCCAATATTTCCTTCCTTGTCTGTATGTAGAATTATTGCCGCTACAGACTTCGCAAGATATTAAAATTCATTTCTGTACGGTCTCCAAAATTTCCGTAGCACCTAAATTGGCCTTTAGAGTGTAATGGGTTGCTCAAAATTGCAGGTACAGTATAATAGCTATGGAATTCTAAACAAACTGGACAGGATAAATATTTATTTGTCAATTTCTTGGGTTTTACAATAATCAGTAATCTGACAAATCGTGGGCAATTTATAACCACAGATTCTAATAGGATATGTGGTATAACCATCCTCCATGGTATAAGCAAAGGTCCTGACAGAAAAATCATTGTCCTGGACGTTAGACAATGTGTAAACATATATTTCTGGGTCGAGGACTAATGATAATTTTCTTTAGTGCCTTTTTTATTTCCGTAATACGTCATAATTTAGGCAGCATTTCCGTAGCAATTACGAATTCAGTAGATCTTGAGAACTCTGCATTGATCGTTTCGTCACGTATTCAATTTTCGTGGGGAAATTCTTTTTAACACGCCAACAAATTTGCATTTTTTAATAGGCCTATTATGTAAACAAATCAATCAATTAATATTGTTTGATAGTCAATCCCATGGTAAAGAGCCTCTAGTAGTCTACTCCAATTAGACGTGCAAATTGTAGTCGTTGTTGCTGCCGTCACCATCGTCAAGATCATCGCTCTCCATCATCATCATCATCTTCACCATCTTCACCATCGACATCATGGCAATCTTCGTCGTCATTATTATCATCATTTTTGGCACCGTCACCATCATCACTTCAATTAGGGTTGCTAAATTCAGTCGTTGCTGGCTGTCACCATAAGTTGTCATTATCATTGTCATCCTCCTTATCACCACCACCACCATCATCATCTTCATCATAGTCGTCGTTATCATTAGGCCTATAATCTTCACCATCATCATAATTATCGCCATCGTTAGCTTCATCCTAATTTTCATCATCGCCGTCATCATTATTATCAGTACCGTACTGTATAAAACTTTTATTGCTGAAATTTGAATCGTAGCGTCAAGTATACCTATATTTCAGCCCACACACTGAGTTATCTACCACTACTGTAGGCCTACTATTAGTTAATTTGTATGTGGGTGTGGGTGAGGTCGTCGCTGCGTGATTAACGCAAGTGAATTCCTAAAAATGCAAATTTAATCTACACTAAAGCTAAACAACAATTAAATAAGTGCATGCCTACATTGTGTCTGTATCGTATACCGAATATGCGTGTCTATATTATCGGGGCGCCGTTTGCAAGTGCTTATTGGGTCTGCCTATAAGATGGTGGAGTGGGCCAAATACTGTGCCTAATGTTAAATCAGTGTTCATAATTTGTCATCAGGGGCGGATCCAGAAATTTAGGCACCTTTAGACGATCGGAAATGGCACTCTTAGATGAAACGCAAGCAGTGTTCCTCCTCGACAAAATTATTGCTATGCTCTCCTTCCCATTGACACCCCTCCCCTCACGGGCGTCGGAAAGGTCTAATGAGAGGCCTCTGTAGTCTATTCTATACTGAAAGTCGCAAAGCAAGTCTCACTGGATTAATATGATATATGCAGTGGCGGCGCTACGGAGTACTACCGTACATTCCGTAACAATGGCTAAAAAAACCCCGTCTAGGTCTTCGTCTTTTGGCCTTTTTTACATCCCGATTTATGACATCTTTGGAAAAAATCGGCGTCGGGGATATAGCGTTGTGTTCGTCATAAATCAATAGAAAATTCCGAATTGGTGAGTGGTAAAATAATCGAGCACTCCTTTCACCCACTGCTGGATTCGCCACTGAACTCATGGGTATACTTTGTTATTTCCCCTCTTTCCTACCTTTAACTCTTCTCAATTCTTTCTCCTTTTTTTTAATTAAAATTGACGATTGGTGGGGGCATGGATTGGCCCCTGTGGAACAGAAGATGGCACAAACTTACAAACTTTAGCAATACAGTAATTCGATCTAATTTAGTTTCATTGATGAACAGGGGTGGTTCCACTAAATTTTAAAAAATTCAATGCATATTAATGCTACGTGCTACTCACTTATCTATTCTAAACCTGTATACATATAAAAAATGATGGATCCGCCCCTGATGAATATATGTGCACTTCATCTATTTTCCTAAGTATGATTTCTCTATGCATACAGAAAAGGAATCTATTTTCTTTCATTGTATTTTGAACGTTTATTTATGGCAATTTACATCCTGGACAGCTTCCTGACAGTAGGTTTAATCCTGTGCTGGCTAGCATCTTTACACATGAATTGCATTAATATGCTTTATGTAAAAACCCATGGGAAGTTAAATCTATCAAATCCAATCACAAAGCATCAATGCGAGACAAACATGGCAACATTTCAAAACACTTTGAAAATAACAATCATTGCATGACCAGAGCATGACTGTAGGAAACAGCAGTGACATACAAAGGAATGTTGTTGATAAAATGCCATATTGTCTGCACAGTGATAAGTACACTGAAAAATAACATAAAAACCAGACACATTTATTGATTCAAAACTTATTCCTCATTTATTTATTATACCAATGAAAATGGCGGTGATACCATGGGGTAATAGTAGATCGCTTAAAAGCTAGTAAGAATTCTTAAAACACAGTCTACATGATATAGCTTGCATCTGTAAACAGTAATGCTTTATATCCACGAGTCGAATTACATCTCGAACAATCAGGTATTGTCCTAATTACGGAATGCATTAGTGCTGTATATTTTATACTTAGTGTGAGCTCTTTGTTTATCTATATTATGTATTCATTTAAATCACTGAAAGAAGCACAATCATTCCCTTTCACTTATAAGTACAACCTTGGTACAATATAATGATAATAACAAAACCAAAAACTAAATTGTGCAATCAAAAGTACAAATGATTATTATATGATTTTGGCTTGAATCAATTCTAAAAACAATAATTTCCAGCATGTTAAGGGCTTTTATACATTTTACAGCTTTGTGGACATTTTATTTACAGCAACTTAAGAGGATTAATTCAATCTCTCTTTATTATTAATACTATCAAAACGTCGGCTCTATATCTCTGGAAATAATTATAACTTTGGTCATGATTTTCTATAAAAAAAAAATTGAATAAAATTGCTCCTTTTGGTCATATATATTGAGAAAGGAGATGATCAGCATCAAACAAAATATTTTACGAATATCTTTACTATGATTTCAAAATTCACAAAATTATATTATACTTTGCTATGGACAAAACTTTGCATAATTTATTGTGTCATCATAAATGAAAAGGATATACTGTCAACTATAGTAAGTCTACATAAATAATCTTTATAGGGAGGTTTCTGGCTATCTCCACAAAAGGACTGTGTCAGGTCTTTCTCGGCCAGAGAGTGAGGAAAAGAATTATCAACGATGTTTTTACACTGCTATATTCACTTCATCACACTGGACCTTTCCATTAGCCCTGCTGCTTTGATACTGTATAGTCCCCGCAAAACATTTAGCGTAAATGTACGTAAAAACGTGCGTTTGTGGGACAACGATGACGCACACATATTCCAGGCACTATTCTGATTGGTCAGTTTGATTGACAGTCCAGCGGAAAAGTCTGTTCAAACAGAAATCTCTGTTAAGTAGAAGGTTGGATGTCCATCTATGTGGGACTATTTCATTGATGTACAAGGTTCTTCATCTAATCATGGATACCTCCATTATCTAATTGAAAGGATTGTGCGAATTGTGTGCTTGTGGCCTGTAGCTGAATCTAAATCTACACACACACAACACTACAGTAATAAACTTACGACTAAAAAACCAAAGAATATGCTTGAGGAAAAAAATTTGAATATTTGTTTTAGACACTTGCATGCTCTTTGCATTACATACATATTTGGCATAAATCTAAACGCAATCTAAATCAAAGATTTTCCATTGCCTTATCTTCATAATCCTTCTGATTTGATTACAGTTTATTTATTTATTTTCATTACATAAAAAATGATTAAAAACTTTAAGTTTAATATACAATACATATACAAGCCACCAATATCAACAGCAAAATCTCAAATTCACCTCTGGCTTTACTCAAGCTAAAGAAAATCATAACTAAATTAAAATATTATATAAATATATTTATCATTTCATATACCACTTCAATTTATTTTCCCATTTATAGTAAACCACCATTTTATCCAAGAATCCAAAGCATGTGTGCTTTTATTACTGTACTTAGAATTAGTGAATTTTTTTTTAATTATTATCCTAAAGTTTTTTACAATGAATACATATTTCACCACAGATATATAAACTTTTGATGTCAACTGCCAAATAAAGAAGCCTAATGAAATCCACTAAGATCTTTTAGTCAATCAAATATTTTTCCCATATTGATTTTCGTCCAAACATACTAAATACATTATTTTCCTTTTCATAAAGATAACATTAACATGTGACATCTATTTTTCAAGATAAGTTCCTTACAGGTATATTAATATTATTAACTATAATGCTGTTTTTATACCCATTTAAAATAAAAAATAAAATAATTGATTCAAAGATTACTGTAATTAAACATTATCCCCTGCAAGTAGAATTATTCAAGTCTGTAACATTTGTATCAAACTCGTAACATGCTAAACCGCCCTCTACACATGTTCAATATGTCAAAAGATGCAATCCAATTAAATTTCCCCAATTGATAATGGAAATAGTAAATGTAACTAACCAATTAAAAGGAATTTAAAAATAAAGATATTTTTTCATTTGAATAGTATATGCTGATCTATCACCAAAAGTTTGAGTAGAATTTGTGAAGATTAACAACAAACATTTCATTTGATTAAATGTCTAATTATATAATCCCATTGTTAGAAAAGCATTTAGCAATCTGAATTCCAGTAATTTGGAAATCTAAACTGAAAGACAATTGTTGTAAATAATGTATGGTATACAACACAAAACATAGGCTTTGGTACTGCATCAAATTAAAACAGTTAATGGCTAGCAATGAAAACTCAGACATGGGAAAAATAAAACCACCAATCACATTATGACTCTTCAAATTATTTGAAAAAATAAATTATAAACATGAATTTCCCTAAATTCTTTATATTCACAGTGCAACTTATTATTATAAAGTTACAAAAATAGAAATTAATGCATGTCTGCTGTCCAATCTACTAAATAGAACTTGAATAGAATAACAAACTAACTTTTTTTTTCCAATATTAAAATACCAGAGTGGTAGTTCCAGGAGGAATTAACAGAAATGATATTTTTATGGATAGTTTATAAAGATAATTAAGCAGAATTTATTGAAATAGAATACTGTATAAAATAAATCAACTCTTGTAACTCAAAATTTATGTCGAAATACCTGGAAAATGCAATTAAATATAATATGAAATCTTTATTTTGTATTCAGATCAAAAGTTTAAAATATCTATGAAAGGCAATGTCTAAAAATGCCTTCTTTTTCGTATAGAAAATTAGGAAAGAAACTGATTTAATTTCTTGAGTCCAGAACCAAGTATTAGAATGGTAGCTCTTTGTCATGTGTAATCCTGGAAACCATTTATTACGTTTGTCAATATTTGGAAGAATCTACAAGACTACTTGCGAAGCTAAAGCAGCAGCCGCCAATAAAAAGATATTTCCTAGTTTAAGAGATACATCATTTGCGATTTTCATTTATTTGGCAGAATATATTTCTCGGTTTTTCAAATTCTACTATGGTAAATATGGAAGTAAAGAAGATTTTAAAATATTCAGAGATATGGAGTTATACTACTACTTTAATTTTCTTTATGTGAGAAGGGAAGATGAAATATTATACGAGAAATGAAATTTAAAACCTTTGGAATTTTTTAATTACGTTTATATGAACCTATCTAAACCCACCAACTTTTATGGACAAGTTTAAATTCAAAATATAAATGCTTGGGAAAAAAGAGAATGTTGACCCAAATCAGCTTTTATAAAAATGTAAAATTTCACTCCCAACTACTTAAGTAGATTTTTTAGATATTTAACATAATTATTTGTACAATTTTGGGTTTTTTTTGTGAAACATTTTTATATTTTCCTCAAACCCATGCATTACCAGTTTTTTTTTTGGTTTCCTATATATTATTATAATAATAAATTCATTTCCATTTACAATTTATATCATTCTTCAGATGTAATTTTGATAAACATTTCTGTAACTCATATTCAACAAACCATGATTTAATCACTTTTATTGGACACTCAATCTAAAATATATGGACTTGTAACTGGTTAATGGTATGTTACTTTATAAAGATTTAGTAACATGTACACAATGTACAATATAACTGAAACACAAGCTTATATTAAAGCGTTCCTAATGACTGGATCGGATACATTCTTATTGTATTTTGTATCTTCTGATTGTAATGCTGATACCTATAGTTGGTTGAACGCCTGGTACTTGGATTTCCAATCGTTGGCCTGAGCATTCTTCTTTTTGCTCTGTCCCATCGCTAGACTGCGTGCTTTTGACATGTCTGATAGGTCTAGGCCACTTGTATCCTGAAATTATATAATAAACCATCATAAAAATGAAATTAAAACACTGAAATAGTTATCATTTGACATGGTTATTCATAACATATGTTCAAATCACAACTCGCTAATGCTCAAAAGAACCACTTTATCTTCAACATCTTGAATTATCATTAATAATGGTAGTCATCTTTCAGAGAAAGACAAATGGTCTTTAGAACGACACCGTGTCTCACTGATGATAGTGTGTGGTATTTCTATGCAACAGTTACCGCATTTCACTGATGATTGTGTGTGTGGTATTTCTATGCAGTAGTAATTAGTATCTAAAAGTAGCCTTAAGGGTGTCTTATTCTACAGTACTTGTTTTGCCTCACATCATGCTTTTTCTGGTCCATTTAACAATATTCAAACTTTTTCTGCCCAGATATTTTGGAAGAACCATTTGTTAAATGACATCCACAACATTTGAATTTTATTGTTTTCCACCTTTTGTATGATCACACACAATTTTTTGATAGAACAATGTAATTAAAAGTCTTGCCTTACTACAGATATTGTAAAGTCACACTTAATGACATAAAATAATCGGATGTGATGTCAGCAACTATCAATCACTAAAGGAAATGAACAACCAATACATCTCATAACAACAATGAAACAAAATCCCAAGGAATACTCCGATATCCATACGGAGAGATCTACTGGGAATACAGTTTTTAAAAACAGATTGTCACAATCGCTTAACAATTATGTATCCCGATGCAGATGCTATGTTTTAATCCATCTCAAGGGTTCATACAGTATGTATGTATATCATAAAATGATAATCTCTTTGTCGGATTTTTTAAACACATATTGTAAAGCCTCAAATAGAAGCCCAATGAGCCCGCCCTCTTTAGTTTGCAAACTAGCCTCGAAAAGAAGCCCATGGTCTTTTAGAGATAGTACAATACATACGCTGTACATGAATTTCAAAGAATAAAATAAATTAAAAACACGCTTGGTTTATACAGTAGTTTAGGTGATGAATTTTGGTTAATACATTCCCATGATACAGACTGATGTTAGACTGGCCCTATTTATTGTTTTATATTAATAATTCCAAAAATTTACAGCATCCATTTTGAAAAGAAGCCCCCTGTTTACTTTGCAAAAGTAGCCTCAAAAAAGAAGCCCATCCGAAGTTTGCAAAAAAAAAAGAGAAGCCCAGGACTTGTACGGTATTACAGTATAATTAAGATGAAACAATGCACACACATTTGCACACACATTGTGGAATTGAAATTTAAAAACTAATTTTGTATTTAATTTCTACTCAAAATTAAGGTGTACACTGTTAATAGCATAACATTTCCATATAATAAGCTAACCCACTTCCCCTACTGTAAATATGAGCAAAGAATTATAGTATTGAATGCAGTACTATAGATGTGCATAAAGCAATTCATTATTTCAAGCTCAAAATAGTTATGTATTTAATCATTTTAAAACTTCTATTGAACGTGATATAAAATGTAATAAAATACAATAAGTTAAAACTGAACAATAACAACATCGAAATGTTTGATTCTGCACCATAAACTGTTTTTTTTGGTATATTTTATAGTACATTTCTTACTTATATCATCAAGGAAGTGAAACAATGTAGACCGGTGGTTGTGCTCATAAAAATAAATTTGATCTCATCTTAAGAACTTGGCACCAATCCAAAGAAATTCTTTGCTTGGCCTTGTGTTAGGCTGAAAGTGTAGATTCATAAACAATTACAGGCTATTCTGATGGTGTTTTCATCAGGCGATTGAATAGGAATATTTTGCCTTACATGATGTGTTATCATCAGGTAAGGCAAAACACATTATTAATCATAGGCTAATTATGCATCACTGCCATCCGTCCATTGTCAGGGGGGGAAGAACTCAGCATTACTGTACATTACTTTGACAATTCAAGGCCATGAGATGGGAAGAGGATTGTGCAATGTTTATATATTTTATGACATAAGAAAATAGTTTTCCTTTGCTGAGTATAATATATTTTGCCATAAGCGATAATCTCAAATTGTTCTTTTACCAATGACAATTGTGCTTCCCTGGAAAATTAGATCCTAAATGTCTCAATTCTAAGTATTTATACAAATTTAATGTATGAATTATTCGGGCATACATTACATATATAAGTATGTGGGTTTATGTGTGAGAAACTGTTGATGTGTGAAATAAATATTGATCCTAATGAGTGACAATCTGGCATAATACATGAAACTTACAGCAGTTTCTTATTGCAAAAGAATCTGAAGCCCTCCTTAGACTATCAAAAACATGTGATATGCCTAAATAAGGTTATGATGACATCACATATATAGGTACAATACATCATGACTATATATGGGCATACATTTTTTTGTCAAAACAAATTTGAAAGTCTGGACAAAGTTTGAGGCTGTCCACACTATCAAATTTTCTTTGACAAAAAACTGTTGTATGCCCATATATAGTCATGATGTGCCTATATATGGTCATGATGTGATGTCATCATGACCATATTTAGGCATGTCACATGTTTTTGTCCAAAAAAATGTGATAGCCTGGACAGGGCTTTATAGTAGAGTATTTTATATCAAAACATAATGCATCCCAAGTTTAGATTTAAAGGAGATCCAATCTATATAAAATCTCGGAATATTATAAAAGGCATTCAGAACTTCAAACACCACAGCAATAAATCAGTTTCCAAGAGAAATAAGAAATGGTCAGCCTCATAAAAAAAGATATCTACTTTTATGGACAAGATATTCTTGACCTCATATAAATCTTTAGTCATTCTAATTTAGAGTACAGTTACTGTGTGTGTTCACCTCATTATATTTGGTTAATTAGAAGAACACCGTACATTTAGTATTGAGCAACCAGGATCTTGACTTGAGATAAACCAAATCACATCCTGACTGGATGAATATGATTGAAGAATATTAGTTGGGCACATTGTACCATGTTTTTACAGTAGTTAGAATGAGTTGAACAATAATTCTAGGTATTTAGAACTTTACACCAGGAATTCTTCAGTTTTCTAAAGGGCAAGAATTCAGGGTTTATATTAACAAATTTATTAAAGATGGACCTTGCCTCCATAAGATTATTATCAAATCATCATTATTTAATCATAAGAGTAGTTAATCTTTGGAATATGTAGTTGTTCAAAGGTTGTTATAGCCATCCATCAAGTACTCAATATATATACCATTCATCAGGAACAGGAAAAAATATTTGATGACAAATAATATATTATGTTTCTGCAAATGAGGCCTAGAGGTTGTAAACCAATTACAGTAATAAATCAAAATCACATTGTTAATTTTTCTGCTAGCTGTTGCGTTGAGTATATGTTCATTCAATGATGGCCTTGCAATTATGAAAATAATCTTCACAATTTCATAACAGTTGAACAGGTAATGACAATCTATTAAATCAAGTACAGAGATTTAGATATTAATATCATAGCATCGTCAAAGAATCCAGTTATTCATTGCGGTTAAATTATAATCTGGTGAATGAACGGAATTTCTTAAGCATAAATACTCCGAGTATTCTTACTGTAGAATGAAAATAGCTGTCAACAAACACATAAAAAATCTGATTAAGTACCTCCTATTCTTTAGTATTAATTTACTTATATTTATAATGTAATTAAATATTAACTAATTGGTAATGGAATATCTTCTTCATCAGGGACAGATGAAAATGCTAATAACTTATTATGATCATCAAGATTTATAATTAATGTATAATTGAAGCCAGTACCTTAATAATAAAAAGTAATTTCAAATAATCATTGAATTATAATTATTTAAGTACTTTTTAATTCAATATAGAGAAAATATGTTAAAAATAACTTCAATTGAAGATCCATGACATTGACAAAATTGTGGGCGCTCATGGCCACAAAAACACAACTCCACTAATAATATAAATAATGATTCAACCATCAAATACAGAATCAATCATCTATTTACATATTTTGATTAGTCTTGTGGTGAAACTACATATACAACTCTATTCCATACTATTGTGCGAATGATATATTACTTCATAATGCCACAATAATGTATGCCTCTCTTTGGATGGATTAGCAAGTAACATTTATGATTGATAGTGTGATACTGAAAGCCTATAATTTCTTTAATTACCGTCTACTAAATTAGAGACGACTTGTTTAAGCCTAACGATCCATTGCATGCCTAAATAGAAACATGTGATATATGTTAAGGGGTTTGGCTGGCTGGCTGGCAATAGGCTCAAAGTCTAAAGACAATGATCAAGATTATCTGTAACATTGTTTGCTTTGCCTGGGCAGGTACCGACCTCAGGATGACACGCTACCTGTACAGTCTCGTGTCGTGCGAGATAACATCTGATTGTAAACTCAACTTTACCTATACTGAAGTTAACAACAATTTGGATTTATGTGGTGGTGTTGAAATTAAATAAAATACATTGTACAATTTCTTTTTGAAGTGAAAATGTGAAAAGACATAAATTAGATCCAATTACAAAGATAACCAGGTTTAATTACGAACATAACCAGGTAGAGTGTTTTGTATGAAAATTACGTAACAGTTGGTCGGTAGGCTTATACCCAGAGAAGTACAGTATATGGTTTTATCAGAAACTAATACATCACATTTTTCACTGTGTTTCAACAAAATCACAATCTGGTGAGACATACATGAGATGAATCCATGACCTCTAAGGTTACAAATACTGAAAAATGCCGGATCAAGAGTTATTAGCAATGCCATTTAACAACCCTCTGGTATATAAAGTAAGACAGGTTGTTCCTACCTTCGGTTTTGCTGGTTCTGCAGGTGCGACGAATGATGGAACATCTTCTTCTTCATGTACTGGTTCTTCTTCCTGTGCAGGCGCAACTGCTTCCATTACTGGTTCTGGTTCATCATGGACTGGTTCTGGTTCTTGTGGTGGTGTTGGAGGACTATATTCTACCTCACTAGATTCTCTTGATGGCTCTTCCTCTTCAGGAGAGGTTGGTTCTGGAGTAACCTCTGGTTCAGCCTCCTCTACAGGTGCTGGTGTCTCCTCTACCTCTTCTTTATTGTTGACATTATCCTCTGTGATGGCAATTGCTGCTGCTGCAGCTACAGGCACCTCAATTTCTTCACTAGACTGACTAACACCATTTACCTATGAGAAAAGATGCAAATATTGAAAGAAGAGCAAAGATGAATTTTAACCAAGTACCCAAGGATCACCATGAACAACGTTAACAAAAAGGACACACACTACCGTCCTAAGCTATGCTCCAAATACCTTTTAGAACAAAGTTGCACACACTCAAGATTTTTTTTTAATCTAACAGGCATTGTAACAAGACTCAAAAAGTTTTCACATAGCATGGAAAAGGCAGAAAATTAATTAATGGTAAGCATACCTCCGGTGACTCTTCTTTACCATTCTGTTGTATTGTTTCTGGTTCCTTGTATCCCGGGATCATGTCCCGTTTTACCGTAACTCCTCGTTTCTTGTACCATGTGTCAAGCTCTTTATCAAGAACCAATAGAACAGTAGAATTTCCTCCTTCTCTGATCCTCGCTACCACCTGTGAATGAGTTTCCCTTTCAATATTTATATTGTTCACTTCAATAACACGGTCACCAGTTCTTAAGCCAGAACGTTCTGCTGGAGAATCTGTAGAAATAAGAGAGAGTTATGTAATAACTATGGAAATTGACTGAGTAACTGTAGTTGAATATCTAGCGATTTAACACTTTGGTAGTTCTGTGAAATTTTGTTAGAAGCACTTTTCCTCAGAAATTACAATCTGTGCTGTATCCTTAAAAGATTGATTATTCATGTAAAAGAGACCAAATAAGTTACTAACTTCCAACAAAACAAATGAATAATTGATTTACATTCTTCAGTAGATATAAGATAATATATATTTGAGAAAAACGTATGTCCCCATCCATTAGGATTCAACCCAAGACCATCCGATTACTGTTTGGATACTCTACCAACTGAGCTATGATGCCTACTAGTATACACCCTTGGATTTTCCCATCAGGACACATCTTTTCCTCAAGGTATTACATAGATAAAAGATGGCATTTTAGGATCAAATAAATTAAATTAAATAAAACTAGCACAGCTAATGCTTGGCAAAATTCTATGAATGCTGTTTCAAGTACTGTATTTTAATTCATTGGTGTGAAGATGACAGTATTTCATAAGAAATATGCCCGAAAGTGTGTGTAATAACACTTAGCACCGGGTCCCCGTACCATTTTGTGTTGTGTGAATTAGGTATAAATACAATAACAAATCACGGTCAACAATTTATCACAGATGGTTAGAAACACCTCAATAGAAAAGTGAAACCATGAACTAGAAAAAGATAGCCACACTACTCATTCACGTAACTTAAAAAAACAAGGAATAAACAATCAAAAAAGAGGCTAAAGAGAAGAAAGAGGAGGGGGGTCTTATATTATTTGCTGATTCATTTGAAAAATAACACAAATACAGTTATCAAGTTGATGTTGTACAAGCTAGAGAAATAAAATCTCACGCTACCAACTACCTTTAAATAAACCTTTGTTTAAGAAGACTATCAATGACTGGTTGATTCTACTTAAAAGCTACAGTAAGTAAGTATATTATAAATTATGAATACATGACTCATTTCAGGGTTCAGTACAGAAACTGAAAACACACTGTCTCTCTTTTTGTAAGGTATTAAAAGAATTAGGTTTACAATGACAATAATAGTTGACGATTTTACAGTATCCACATAAAATGGGTGAGGTTACTTTACTACTGTATTTGGTTGCATGATTAATTGAACCTCTGTATAGTAACTAGAATTAATAATTGGAACTAAATTTTTAACTCAACCTTAATAAAATAATAATAATACTATTACTGGTATAATTGTGCCCATTATCTATATATGATGCCAAGAAATTAATTAATTTCAAAATGTTTTAAAGTTGTATTTTGTTGTTGCTCATTTGTTCCTAGGTCCCGTGTGAGAACAGTAACTATGAAACAAAAAAATAAATAAATAAAAATAAATAATTAAAAATATATATTTAGTTTTAATTTTCCATTCTGATTTATTTCAGATAATAAACATATTGAAAATTGATTTTTTTTAAATGGTATCTACAGTTCAAGCAACCCTCAAAAGAATTGCACACTGTATTATCTAATTGTAGATTAACCTGCGTAGACAAACAGAACATTCATGGTTGAGCTTACAGTAATACAGTGTTGAGGCATCTTGAAATCGCTCACTATTTAAGATATTGTTTCACGATAATTCATTAAGTTCTTCCACAAAATTTAAGTAACAAATACACATGATATGATATCATGCCCATATATGGGCATATGGGCAATATTCACACTTATCTTTTATATAAAACAGATAATGTAGACAGAGCTTTAGTCTGCAGAAGCAGGAATTTGTTGTATAGTGCAACCACTGTGAAGTATATAATATACAGTAGGCTACTTGTATAAATATACTGACACATTATTTGTCATAATTATATGGGTCAAAGAATTGCAGTTACTCTACTGTAATATAATTTCACCTTTATTAAATAAAAAAGCTACCATGGTCCAAATTACACAGCACAAACATTATACAGTAAGCACTACTCTACATAGATAATAAACCACTCAAAACTATTTGCACTATACCAGTACATATTTACTGTGGCGTATATAGGAATTTAAATGGGGGAGAGGGGGGCAGATGGGGCACAAAGGGTAATTGAGAGAGCTCAATGACTAGAAAAGCGCTAGTTGACAAAGTAAGGAGATATACTGTAAGGTGATACTTGAGCATAAATGTTTTGTTCAGAAAATTTTCAGGGGGAGGTGACTGGGAAAGCTTTGTTTTTGTTTTGGAGGTGTGTGTCCCTGCACATTCCCATACATATGCAACTGCACATTTATTTGTAATGTATTAATATTCTTTCTGTCTATGGTTGACCTGAATATAATAGATGGAATGTGTGAAGCTTTGCACTTGAATTGATTCTAGGGACGTGATTGCAGCTGTCGCTGTGTGTATCAGTGTCCGTCTTATGCTACAACTATTATAAAAACAAAGCATCAATACTTCCGTTTAGTAACAATAAATAATACCATTAATAGGAAGATATTCATAATTCAAATGAAAGTGAGGGAACAGAAAAATGATCAATATTGAATTAGGAAGACAGAAGGATTAATTGCAAAAGTAGAATTTAAGGTGAAGGTTATTTTATGATTTGTTGAAATAAATCTTATATAGTGATATTTCATGTTGTATAATAAATTCAAAATTAATTGTAAGAAAACAGATTTAATACCCCCATAATTGAAAAAAGCCCCATCACAATAACTTGATATTTATGGCCAATCAACAATTTGACACCGGAAGGATGTTTTATGATTTGTTATCATATAATTTAAGGACGAATTTCAATAAACCTCATTGAAATAAATTTCATAGGGTGTGTTTCTACTGATAAACACAAAATAATCGTTTTTTCAATGAGTACCAGACAGCCTGTTGGCGTTGCAACTGCATTTTTGATTTTTCGAAAATCGGTTTTCGTGACGGAAATTACATCACCATTTTGTTTATACAACACGTTGTTTTCCTATCTTTCTCATTCCTGTCATGATGACGAGGAGTAAGATACGGTGTGGGGCGAGAAGGCAAATGTTTTCGGCTGTGCTCATCGGCACATCGACCAAACGAGGGCAATGGTAGGCCCTAGGCCCAATATCCCCCCACCCCACAAAATAATTACAAAACGAATTCGTCACTCCTCATGTTTGTTGACGTTTTTAGCTTGTAGGCCTAGGACATGAACAAGAGGACAAATTTTTTTTTAAAGTTCGCGCCTAATACGATCCAGTCTTTGCAGTGATTGACCTGGAGGTCACATTTCACCTGAAAATCGCTTTTATTGTGTTGCAGCTAAAATGTGCACAGCCGAAATCGGTTATTTGCCGTTCAAACACGCTATCCATTGCATGTTTTTAATCGCTTTTTTCAAACTGGTCCCGTTTCTACTGCGAGAATAAAAGCGATTTTTCGAAAAAGCGATTTTTAAACGATTATTTCTTTCCAGTAGAAACAGGCCCATAGAGATAATTCATACATTCACCATAATTGAAAGAAACCCATCAAAATAACTTTTAAGATTAATGACCAATCAAAAATTTGACCCCAGATGGATGTTTTATGATTTGTTGTTATATAATTTAAGAATACATTTAAATAAATTTCATAGAGATATTTCATATATTATATAATAAATTTAGGTATACTGTAATTAAAAGAAAATAGAATTAATATCACCTAATAACACAATAACACAATAACTTAACAATTTGACACCGGAAGGATGATTTATGATTTGATATATAATTTAAGGATGAATTTCAATAAACCTCATTGATATTTCACGTTATATAATAAATCAGAATTAATGGTAAGAAAATAGATTTAATATCCCCATAATAAAAAATAAAAAAATCAGAATAAGAATAATGGCCAATCAACAATTTGACACCAGAAGAATGTTTTACGATTTGTTATTATATAATTTATTGACATTTTGAAATACATTTCATAGATATTCCATACATTATATAATAAATTTAGATAAAATTAAAAGAAAATATTTTTAATATCACCATAATTGGAAAAAAAACCCCTATCACAATAACTTGAGATTAATGGCCAATCAACAATTTGACACTGGAAGGATGTTTCATGATTTGTTGTTAATATAATTTAAGGACACATTGAAATAAATCTCTTAGTGATATTTCATATGTTATATAATAAATTCAGATTTAATATTCCCATAATTGAAAAAAAACCCCATTACAATAACTTCGCATTAATGGCCAATCAAAATTTTGACACCTTTATTAATAGAAATGATAAACAATGAAAATTAAATTTATACTTGTCATTAATAGAATTCATAGAATGAAGATATATTTAAAGCATTAGCAACTTAAAGCTATTCAAGGTAATTAATGACGTACACTTGTACTGCACTATATGCAGATTAACAGTAAACCCAAGGCTAAGTGTTTGAAATAATTCCTTGATCCTCAGAAATCTCTTATTATTCAAACAAACATCAGAGACAATACAAACTTAACATTTTCAAGCAAGGTTTATGTTGTAGTTATTTTAGTTTATATTAGATAAATATACGCAGGTTGTCCCACAGATAAAGTAGCAATCAAACACCATGAAAAAAAAAAATCCTTATATTAGTAAATTTCTGTTTAAATAATTGCAGTGCCTGTCTCTGTTAAAATTCCTTGTTTTAAATATGATTTATATATTCAATCAAAAATGATAAAAATACTTTAGGCCAATACAGGCATAGTCCTGTAGACGCAAATCTGCATTATAAAGAATATGGGCGATTAAAGAGGGTCGAGTTACTTAACAAACATGCCAAACAGTAGTACTAACTGTAGCTTATTCAACTTTGACCTTTTTCTGTTTTGGGACAACCCTTTGATGACCGTGACTATGACGTCTTTTCATTTGAAATTATGAATGGAGCTGGAAGCGAAATAGACAGACAGAAACAATTCTTTGTATATTGTGTTAAAGAATTCAAGGAAAATAGTATTCCAAACCACACAACAATGAC